TAAAATAATAATCTATTAGTTGAACATCCGATTGACGATCTGCAAGTTTTTAACTTTTAAAGTAGGTTCTAAATTTTGAAGCCGTAATATAATATAATATATTCTGAGAAGTATTGTTCATATCCAAAATTTATTTTAATTGTACTTTTTAACGTTACGTATTTATTTTTATTAATAATAATTATAAAATCATTATATATTAACTTATATCTATTGTATTTTAAGCCAAGCATTTCTATAATTAATCTCTAATGGCTATTTTATAATTGATTATTATAAATACAAAAATGAATTTGTGATCAATAATATGTATTATTAGTTGGTTCAAATTGATCTAGATTAAAATGCCAGTTGTCTGGTATGCTAAAATTTGTTTGAAATTAGTTTTTAATATTTTTTTATTAAAATGACCCAAATCTTATAATTTATTACTAACAAGAAATAGTTTTTATATCAAAGTAACTGAAAATTGTTCAAACTTAATCCCGATTTTTATCAGTAACAGTAATAAAACATATATGTATAAACTGTTATATTAACACCTATAGTAAAATGACAGCTACCCGTCACCTTGTATGTATAATATAAATAGCAATGAATAGCAATGAAAATTAGTAATACGAGTAGATGACTCAACGTCTGAGATATCACGAATTGCACATTCCAAGACGTGATTCAACCATTACACTGAAAAAATAAATTTAGATTTTGAAAAAATCTAAATTTTTAACTATTTCAAGATAAATATATATTTTAACTTATTATTAAATAGAAATAATAATAATATTGGATTAATTAAATTACCACGTTATAAATGTTTACATTATAGTATTTACATTTGTTAAATGTATATTTATAATTTAAACCTAAAATTTAATATCTTACAATTATTATAAAACATCATAATTCTTTTAATTTTTGTATTTATTAATAAAAAATTATTTTTCATTTGAAGTCATATATAACTATGAATGCTTACGGAACGAAATAAAAATGATTTTATTGAAAAGCGATATTTTCATACTTCACTTAGAAATGTATTGCATATTATACATATCTAGATATTGCAAATTCTAGATAATTGACCTTGGAGTTATCGATATTCCAAATTATGTATTGTAATAATAGTTAAAAATAAATAACAAAAAAACCTCTATTTTAATATCGAGAACGTTGAGATATCATAATAATCTGTTTTCCATTAAATCATAACTAGTTCGTAAGAAGACTTAGAAAACGTCCGTCCTGAATATATGTTTTATAGTTAGTATCACGTGCAGAAGGTTGATCATTTTAATTTGTTATAACGTCTTTTGGGGATGAACAGAAAAAAAAAAACACTCTTCAGTCTCCCCCGTCCTCTTTCTAACGGCAGTTTAGTACATTACGAAGAGTGTCCACCTCGAAGTCCCCCGCACAAGCGAACCGTCGTTCGTTCACCGCGCACGCTGGCGCACAAATTACATTATATTACGTTTCATGCACTCGGTGGACGCGTACTTAGGGGTTACACGCGCGTATGTGACTGCGCGAGTGACGAACCGCGAACGTTCGGCTCGTTCGCGCGAGTGCGTCACTGGACCGTGGAGAGACAAAAAAGTATTACCACGACTACGTGCCGCGTCCTCCGCTACGCGTTATGGCGCGTGCGAAGACTCCGCCGGCTGCTGCTGCCGTTTGCCACGCGCTGCGACCGCCATCGTTTGTTGGCCTACGGGCAACGGTTACGCCAGGCTGAGATCTAAATGCATGCACACATGTGCTATTATATTTTAAATTATTATTATTGTTATTTATGTGCGCGTAATGTTTTGTACGGCGGCACGCTTCGGTAGATTGATTTCGTAGTTTTCTCTCTCTCTCTCTCTCTCTCACACACACACACACGCACGCACACCCTCGAAACGGTCGAAGCTGATGAGACTCGACAGATGTGCGATCTTATAATACTTAACGTTTTATTATACTACACGCACACTCTTTGGGAACTAGCCTATTTTCTATGATGAAAAATAGCGATTTATTCATAAATACATTGAAGACTATTGCGTTTGTTTTGTTTTTAAAAAATAAATTATCCACCGTTAATTTTTTACGACACATATATTATTTAAATCTATATCCACGAAGATTTCTTTATTTAATGTTCTGTGTAAATCTTGTAGAAAATTTTATCTAAATTATATCGATGTGATTATTAAACACAGACGTTAGATTTTGAATTTAGTGAACAGCATGAATATGTTAGAAACAAAAGATTCACATCATATATTGTAGTATTATATTTATTGTTTAAATATTCCTTATGTGTCTAGTGTCGTTGTCAATCTATCATGACATACGTAATCAATACATATCCACTATAGTTTTTACTTAGTCTATAACCAAATAAAACTTATAACAAATAAATGTCTTAAATATCGCGATGTATCAGATATCAATGATATCTGTATAACATTTGAATAATAAATATGTTAATTAAATATTATGTCATTTATTTTATGATGTATAATTGACAATATTTATTTAAAAATTAATTAATAAAATAATAGTATTTATCTCATTCTTTTTTTTTAGAATTTAATAAATAATATAATAATTATTTATTTGGAGTTTTAGTGAATTAAATGTATGGCATTAACATATTTAATATATTAATAAGTATTTTAAAAAATGTAGATAACGTTTTTAATTATTTTAATGCTACAATTAAACCTTTATGTTTAAACGTGACATTGTGCGCATTATCAATAATTTATAATGTTCTTTATTTCACTTACATCAGTTTTTCTATAAATATTTTACTGTACTTAAAGTGTCCGGTATTTTATAGTTATCAATATAATAACAATATACATATATATGTATATATATAATAAAAAATAAAAACTTCCTCGGCGGACCCGGGACGAAAACTGTTCTTGCTAAGAAATGTCATTACGCTAATATTATTTAATGGAAAATAAATTCTTTATTTTAACTACAAAAGCATAGTAACGTATTTTATTTAAATTTTAAATTTATTATAAACTAAAAAAAAATTTCAATCATTAAGTTTGTTAGATTTGTATATTTACTATCCAGCGTTAAAATCACTCATTATATTTAACTAAAAGTCCATTTAAATTTTATCGTATTCTAAGTTTTTATGCACGAGTAATTGAAAGTGGATAAAAATTACTGAACTACCTTTGTTGCCGTACAAATGGTATACCATCCTACGAGCGTGTAACGGTTTTTCGCCCCATCGTGATTTGAGGGTGCGTGAATTTGTAGGCCCCCTTTCAATTATTATTTTCCATAGGTCACAATGGTTCCCAAACACCGGTTTTCACTACTACAGTCTAGTATATCTATTCACCCAAAACAGTTAGTATTGATAAAATCTTAAAATTATTAATACGGTTTGAAACAAATTTAGCAGTGTTTACCGTCTAAAAAGTACTATGTTGATATTGTTTTGTTAATTTTAACTATAAATATTTTTTTTTTGGCTATTATAAATCTGTTTTTTATTTTATCAGCAAAAATATTATATGTAAACGGTATACCCTATAGCAGAACTACGTTTATTTAAACCCATAGATACAAATTTTTTTGGATAATATTATATCTATAATCGAAATACTAACAAACAGAAGAAACGTTATCATTTATATTTTTATATTTAATTAAAAGTAATTAAATGGGTATAGTGAGGTAAAAAATCAACAAGTTGTCACTTTGACATTATAAATTAATTGTAATTCAAAAAAATTACATCAAAAATATTATACTTCTACAAATAATACAATTAATACTAATTTTTAAAAATTGAATTTTTTCAACAATTCTGAATTGTATTACAAAGATCGTATAAACGTCCAATTCTATTCATATATGTAGTTACACCTATGTGTATATATATTTTTTATAATAATTAAGGTTACAAATTCTGGGTAGGTATTAAAACGTATCTTAATATAGATATAATAATTTATTATCAATGCTTTTATATTGTTAACTGTAATATATATATATATTATTTTACTATTTAATACTTATTAAATTATATTGTAAATGGCATCATACTAAACTGCAAAATAACTAATTTTTATTTATTGCTACATAGTACATTGTAAATAAAACCAAATGCCCATGTAAGTCGTTATGTCTTTTATTTCCGCCAGCATATTCTTATTTACAATTAAATAGGTCTTGTTAGAAATATATTCAAAGATATCGATGTTACCCTAATACATGATTCAAAAATGTATATGAGAATGCGGGATAACGGACAAAACTGAATTTCAATGTAATATTACACATATATTAATGAATATTTATTCTCTGTCTTACATTTTACCTGTGGAATTAATTCAATTATATTTAGAACACATTCGATTTAAAGGTTATGTTTTATGATATAATATATACAATATTATACGTTAAAACTAATTTAGATTAATTATTTTAAATTTTCATTACATTAAATTTACTTGATTAGTATTGTCTATTCCCATATTTGATAGAAAAAATATTTTTGTGGATAACCAAAAATATTTTATTAAACATTATAAAATGTATGTCAGAAATAATGAATATCATTATTGATAATCTGCAGTTTTACAATCACAGGCTGGATACTGGATTATATTATAATAACATGTGTTTATATGTTATATTTATATGTGTATTTATATGTGTTTGTGTCTATTACATTTTCTACTTGTGTACAATAATGTCTGCCACGGTTTTTATGAATACTTGAAATATGTTGTCAATGTTTTATGGTTAATGTCTGATGATTCAGTATTGCAGTTCTATATATTTTCTTTAATTACATATGGATCAGTAAATTGTAAAGACAAAAACCCGGACTTCCATAAGCTTTGATAAAATTAATATATTTATCTGTAACCTGTTGATCTACATATTCGCAAGATTCTTTTATTCATAACTGTGATCTTGAGTATACTTAACTTATTTATTATAATGGTGTATTCGTTTTTATGTTTTAGATTAACTGGAAGATTCAATGTTGTGTACCCATAATAATATGTACTTGGTAAGTAAAATCGCTGCATTTGCTAAAAATAATCTAAATTTTATAAGAGGTGATTGTAATAATTTTATTTCAATATTTTATGAACAGCCAAATAAATGGATGTAATCTTGTTTAAAATTATTTTGGTATATATTATACACCAATCAAACGTTTTTAAATATAAAATACATTACAATTATTTTTTTGTTTTAATTATGTTAGTGGACAAAAACACTAAAAACTTATAAATAATAAAATGTATGGTCATTAAACACAATTATTCTATTACATATTTTCTCATTTTTTTTATGGTTTGGTTTTTCATTCAATATTTGTTGTATTTATTTTAAAGCTTGATATTAATTCCATTTAGGTCGTGTGAATATATGAGTATCAAACATAAAATATCCATAGCAATACATAATTTTTCGTATTGTTAGCAATCCTAATATACAATTACTATAGCTGACTAATAATACGCAAAATTTGTGACGTATACTCAGCAATATGATGACAGATTTATGCATAAAAAAATTGTAAATTGCTTCGCGAAAAAACAATTTATCATATATGTAATTATACATGTACCTAATACATGTATCTATTATATTTTTTAATAAACAAAATTAATTGGGTTTTTCAATAATTAAACTTATGAGCATATAATAATTCAACATCTACAAAAAAAAAAAAAAAGAGAGAGTCATATCTCATATTTCCAATTTTTCTGGATGATCAAAACTAATATTCAGATTTATAATCTTATTCTGATTTTTATAAATAGATTTTTGAAAACAACAGTACTATTAGATAATACTTAACAAAGCAAAAATGTAATATTTTCATTATTTCAAACATTTTTATGATATTCTATAATACTATATTTCCTATTAAGATTTGTAGTAAATCCTTTGCATTTGTCTACTTTTCAAACATACTTACTTTTTCTTTTATAATAAATCTATACTGATTTTTTTCTATTTCATTGTTTTTCTCATATTAATTATGTTATTCGATTTTGAGTAGGTACATTTTATCCGAGTGCATAATCATATGTAGTTAAATTAGGATAAAATAAAATCTTGGAAATATTTCGAAATAATATCATTATTTTTTTTTATTATAAATATTAAAGTTTGATTGAAAATTAAATTATTAAATTAAAATAGATAAATAAACAACTGAAAGTAAAAATCAATTAAAAAGTTAGAAAATAATATTATGATCGATTTTTAAAATAAGTTAATAAAATATTTTTATCATACCACAACTGTTGGGATCTATTTTTTATCTATATTTTCTGTTCAATTCCGGTATCGGTGTGCTATTGTAGTGACCGTATATTATAAATTATGCTTATACACGTAAATATAAACCTGTAGCGAATGGTTCCTTCCACGTACTGATTGTGATTTCATTATTTACCGGGCACGTCAATTGGGATGCGAACGATAGTAAAATATTTATTACACATAGTAAACAGGAAGGTCTTCTTGGTCGTACATGTCCTGGAGAATGAACCATTGTTGGTTGAAAACGGGCAAGAGCAGAATTCATAATGAGATCGCGGCCCCGGTGTGCGGGTGTGTTGCCCTTTGAGAAATGCACTGTAGTTACACACAACACAACCGATCACAGAATTCCTACTGATGTTTTCGAAAAATTTGCTTCCCTGTAATCCCCCATTCATTCATGTATAGCTGCGTTGTTATGTAAAATTAAACAACTTCAGTGATATCACAATTATGTAAGACCCTATCGAAAATATTTTTATCAGAAATACACCTGAAGTTACTTTTATCATAATTTACTATATATATACAATGGGATATAATGATTTTATCCTAAACAATATTTATTACATTCAATTTCTCAATCAATTAAAAAAAATTTCAGTTTATTATTCTAGAATAATTATTAGTATTCTAACTACGGGCATATGTATTACTACGTCAAAATTATATGTGACTGAATTATAACTAGATTTCAATTGGAGATAACATATATATTACATTGAATGTATTTGTGGAGATGTACCTATACACAAGCAGCAAGTATTTTAACGAACAAATTTAACATGTTGAAACAATATTAATTGGATAATGTTCGATGTGCCAGTTGTATTATATGACGTACTGTCTTTCAGATCTAACAAAATGATATCGTATAAAACGTGTATCTTGGGTAGTTTCCAAATAAATTTCAACATTAGTGGTTATGATTTATTTTATTTAATTTTTATCTTTAATGTTTAAAACATTGAACCTTTGTATCTTCATTTTAGAGTATTAATATAATTGAATATCTAAATATATCCATTAAAATAAAATATTATTTTAAAAATACATTATTCTATTGTATAAAATTACATATTTTTCAATTTTGTATTTCCTATCTATATCTTATAAGTAAATCTTTTTGCTTTATTACATTTAAAACATGCATGCTATAACCACCTAAATTAAAAATTATGAGTAATTAATAATTTAATCAAATAGTATGTAATATGGCTAAAATTAGTTTATTTGTTTTATACAAACCAATATGTAAAACCTTGAAGATAATTTTATCATAACATAATCCCCTTGAAAAGTATATAAATTATGATAAATTATACTGTAAAAATATACCTAAATAATGAACTATTTAGCTATTTGCAATAATTAAATTAATTAATTTTTATTATAATTAAAAAAAAAAAATTGATTAATAATATATTTTACTTATTTCTATTACATAACCTATTCATCAATTGATAATCTTACATTTTCCTTACATGCAATTAATAACTTTGATTCAAAAATGTTTTTTAAATTATCCCATAAAGTTTTTTATTTATGTAATAAACCAATTTAATTGTAACCATTATTTAAAAAAAAGTCTTTAATTTATTTCACATAAGATTAAATTTTTTACTAAACTTGTTTTTCAAACTTAAATTTGTATTTAGTTTTAAAATTATTATATATCTTGGTAATAAACTAGAACTTATTTATAACTATTTCTTAGACGAGTTTTGAAATCTTCATTTATTCTTGTTCGATATCAATTTGATGACTTTCATTTTTACAATGAAATTATCTCCATCATCTTTGACTAGCTTCTTTTTAATTAATCGTTTTCCTTGAAACCTATTGCATCACAATATAAAAATTATTTGTGTTATTTCTTATTTTTTCTTTTAAATCAGCCTACATAGTGTTTATATTTTTACTAAAAATAATGATAATAGCCATAAATACATGTACTAGAAGCAGTTTGGGCAAAACTTTAAAGAATGCATTCGTATGACGTTTCCGTGTAAAAAAAAATACACGAACTAAAGAAAACGAATGAATATCTATTTATAAGTAGAGTACTACTTGAGTACCCGTAAGTTATATTTACATACGATCCTACAAACAACGAGTGGTTAATTAATTGACTTGATTGTGTACAACGGCCGCAATCGACGTCTTTTATAAATGTACCATTTCACAACGATAAAATTTATACTCGTGTACTGTACCACAGTTGACAATATATTGCCTGTTTCCTGAATTAATCATTTACGAATAACATAATATATTATATGATATTTTCTATAATAAATGCAATTTAAAATATACTGTGTATTGTAATTATTAATATATATTTATAGAATTATCACTTAAACATTTTTTTGCTGATTATAAAATATTCTGAATAATATTTGATTTGTATATTGTATCATCACACATTAATTATTATATAATACATTTAATTATTGTAAATACCTCTATTATACCTACACCTAAATGGTAAATATTAATTTTAATTTGATACTGTATTTAGATTGTCAATGATACTAGTAAATTGTATATACGAAAGAAAATATTAATTTCAGGTAGTTTCAAATACTGATATACATTATACAATAAATAATTCATATTTATTTTAATTAATTTTAGTTGGATAAATGATACATTATAGTATAAGGCTTATACAAACCCCAAACAATTTGAACACATTAACATAGTATATAGCTGAACATTATGGTTGAATTTTGGTTGTATAAAAAATAATATTTATATTTCACTTTAATCTCGATGATGTAAAGTTATAACTAATAGTTATTAAGTATATAATAAATTTAAAGATTAATAGTATATAGAAACAATAGTTAAAATTATTCGGTATGTAAATGTGTACATTTTAAAATATTGTTTAGTTATCATTTTTATTGCTTTTAATATCGAAAAACAATGCGACTTAAAATAAAAATATTGAACAAGATTCAACTCAGACTACAAGTCATCGAGACTTAAATAAAATATGTGTATGGGTAATACGAGCAAAATATAAAATATTATATATGTTTACATACAAAATGAAGTACTCTCTGTACGTATTTATTTTTATTATTATTATTTTTTTGTGGTATGCATTTCAAACCGGTTTAATCGCATATAGTATGTATGTATTCAATAAAAATACGCAAAAAATAACACATCGCGAAATGGTCGCAAGCAAAGGAGAAAATAAAAGTTGCAACGTTTCTTTCCGTTCTTGAAACGGTAGTATAATAGCGTTGCAAAGTGTACGATATTTATCTGGTGCATATAACGTGTAATAGATGTTCTGATCTTCTATCACCGATGTTTAGAACTGCAGTGATTGATAAGTCTCTGCTTTCAAGTTTTACAACATGAATTTATATACTCAACAAATATGAGGACGTAAAAATAGATTTTAAATTTTAAAAATGTTACCGACTTTTCAAAATAAAATTACATCCAGATTATTACATTCCAGATTTCCAACTCATAGTAAATAAAAATATAGATTAGGTTATTAATAAGTAATTATTAATAAACCCTTATAATACTACAAAAAATAGTATACATATAAAAATAATTAATTTTATTAAAATAATCGCTGTTATTTTCTATGAAAAAATAAAAAATAAGAAATAAAAATTGACAAGAACCAACATCTTATAGGAATTTTATCATTATCCATTAAACAAAACATCCTTAAGTTTATTTCATTAAAATTAGCATTGAAAATACGAATTAATAATGGATTTCTATCAATTTCCAGAAGACAACCACATGTAACATGTGTTAACGTTGAACGGAGAAAAATCACCCGTCACCCGAGTATACCTATCGTAGAAAAAAAATTATATAAGTGAATTACCTCAAGAAAATAATAATAATAATACTAGCAAGTCTTACCACACATGAGGGCCAAAGACCTCCAATGGACTTGTTTACAGTTTACACATGCCCGATAATATGTCTTGTCACGGTGGCCCGCGCGAATACGAGTACATATAGGCACCAGATATACAGCATCTCTACTGTTGATTTAGCACTCTTAGGTATATTTACTTTTTGTCTAAGAATAATTTCGTAATCGACGTATATATATTACGAATCTCACATTCAACGTAGTTTTAAAATTAAAAGTATTCTACCTTTTAATTTAAAAATGTATTTTATTTATATATAATTAATGAAATGTATGTCATAACTATATTATATGAGTACTTTATTATTTTTTCTGTATATGTTTACCAGTATACTATTTTGAAAAATCGTACATAAATAGACAGAATCATCATGTATAGTGTCTCTCAAATATATTTATTTCAAATTCTGGTGAAAGTATGTAAATTTAATATTTCAGTGTAATTTTAAATGTATAACCTTCGTGATTACCGTCCACTACTGTAATTCAATAATTGTAATTCCAACGACACCAATAAAAGTATACGGATTGTAGGTTCTAAAATATTTTATATTGCATGATATAATAATATTACTAAACAATTTAGTGTTTTGGATATATAAATTATAAATAATGTATAAATATATAACTAAAAATGCTTAAATTTAAATTACTTTCTTAATCAAAGTAAAAAATGCCACCACTGGGTGGTTGCTTTTTCATATATATTTAAGTAATTATATAATATCAGCATGCAAACTTATTGTAAAAGATAATTTCAGATTGTTGGTTTTATAAATAATTAGTTTAAAAAAAAAATTACTTTAATATTAGTATATCATTTAATAATAAATTATTAAAAATTATTTAAAATATATAATATCCTGTAATATCTTGATATATTAATTTGAATAAAAATAAATATATATATATATAATAATATGTTGAAACATTTTGATTTTGTTTGTTATATAGCCTCAATATTTCGTGCACTTAAAACTAAAAAATATGAGTACTCTTCCGTAACTGTATTATACTAAAAACGAAAAATTAATTTGATCATGGTATATTTTTTTTTTTTTTACAGCTATAATAAGAATATTCAGTTTGACTTAATATCTTTATGTGTATACATAATATAATATATTATGTATATTTTTCATCGTAAATCACTAACTGTCAATAGATGCGTTCATTAGACTAAATTAAGATCTATTAGCTACTGTGGTTGTTAAAATATTTGTATCTTTAAATCAAATATTTATTTAGTTATCTCAAACTACACTTTTTAGTATCTAATATTACGATGAAATTCACTATCAGTTAACTGGAAAATAGCATTGTATAACAATGGCCATAACGTAACGGGTTTTAACACTAAAGGTATTCAGTAAAGCCTACATTCTTATTATTTTTTTATAAATACACCACACGATTTCGCACGACACCTGCCGTTTATAGTACCTGTAGTACCCACCTATATATTTCACTTTGTGAAATTAAATTCTTTACAAAAATTTGAATTTACACGGCCAATAATGTTACATATTTGTTGATAAACCGTGGTAAAATACATTTAGTAGATAACATTTGATTAAATATTAAGTTTAGAATGTTATTCATAATACCATGGGTAACAAAAATATTTCATTTTTATACGAATAAACATAATTGTACTTAATATTATATAAACGTACAAATAATTGATGAAGATTTCAAATTACTATTATTATAATTGGTAATTTACAAATTGTATAAATTAAATTTTAGGTACAGTAAAATTGAACTATATTACATGTATATCTTAAACTATAGAATTAAAATTATGTTTACTAATTTGTATTTACCCGAAAGCTTAGAAAGTACCTACTCATAAAGTATTGTGTATGTGTATATTATTTTTTGTATAGTTACTTTAATAACTATATAGTTGATACAATAGAGTATTGGATTAATATTATCAGATTAATATTTTCTTGGATCCAACCAAATTTTAAGTTTTTAAATAATTATAAATTAATTAAACTTAAAACTTAGTGGATATACAAATAGTTTAGTAATATTGAATATAAAAATATCATTAAGTCAAAAGAAAATCGGTAAAAATTATAATGTGTTGTCAATGATTCAAATATCTATAATATATATCATAATTTATAAATATGTGCATGATAAGAATAATATCATATTTCTTATATTGCTGCAGCATTTATTTTTTCCCAATCATTATTATTAAACGACCTTCCGAATGAAGATGAATGTAAAATGATTATTACCGGCAGTGTAAACACACATAAATCTCTGTACGTATTTGGCTACTACCTATTAAACATACTTATTTCAATGGGTACATTTCTGAACGACCGAGAAAGTGACCAAACACGTTGTGAGATAACATATTGGCATAAGAGCCCCTGCGGGAGCTTGTTGTGCCGGACGGCCGCTCGCTATTAAAACAATCCGCAATAAACGTGAACATTCCTTCTTAATCTTAAAATGTATAGAAAATTACATACATAATAGCTACTTTAATAATAACCCATTTATTAAAGTGATAAGATAAAACGCGATGATCGGTTAGACAATATATTTTATTGTTTTGCAATTTTACATGCATGGTTTAAAGTTTTTCTCCCACTTATGTCAGGTCACAAAGTGTTTACTAACCAAAAGCGTTAAATGTATGGTATTCGACATTCTTGGCAATACACAATCTTAACAATTTTTAGACATATATTTTTACTGATTGTTATTATGCTTGTTTATAATTTGAGCAAATATTTCGACAGAGGTAGGAATCTAAAAACCTAAAGGTATTGTCAATTATATGAACATCAAATTAATAATACTGTATATCAGTAAGAAAAACAGAACGTTAGAGAATTCGAACAAATCTAATTTTGTGTCAAACTGTTGCATTAAGAATAAATATCAAGTTAAAATTTATATTTTTACAAATATTATAAAGCTTATGAAAAAAAACTTTATTTTTCAAAATTTAAGATCAAAAGTCATAATCAGTACAGTTTTGATACTCTCACTTTTATATTTTTTTAAACTGTGATGAATAATATTATTCAAGATGTATTAAATTAAATACATAGATTCATATTTTACTGTCGATTTAAATATTTTTTTAAATAAAATAAAATTAACGAGGTTTCTGGGTTTTATTTATATAAACGCAGTTAATTAGTTAAATTTCTAAATTATATAGATTAGTTATAATTAAAATTTATATAATACTGGATTGTTTTTTGATGATTTATAATTTTACATATTTTACACAAGATTCAAATTAAAATAATTGAAAAATTAATTATCCTTATTATAGTATATTATATCGCTCATTTTACTATATTTTGTATAATTATTTGTATAAGAAATTCCTGAACTCAATAGAAGCATGAAAAATCTGTAACATAAACTTCTTGTTCAGGAAAACCAATGAAAAGTTTTGAATTCTGACACCCAGAAACGGTTTTATAATATGTTCCTTTTATTTTATTGTTATTATAGTTTTTTTTTTTTTTATATATATACATTTTTTACCACCATGACATCACGTGTGCCGCTGAGACATGTATACATTATATCGTTCAGTATAGGTATTATGTTATTATTTGTACAATAGAGTAAAATAGTAATTCATGTAAAATATAACCGTGGGGCAATTGGACGGTATTAAAATATGTTTAGATCGTAACATACACTGTCCTAAGACAGATTGGATTCCTTTGTTTTGTTCCTTAAATCGTACAGGTATCATAACTTTTTAATAATTAAAAAATATCTCGGGCTAGTGAAACAAAACAATTATCTGAGAGCTGTGTACATCATCTACATTATATATATATATATATATATATATATATATATATATATATATATGTATGTATACGTTACGATATACGAAGATTGTACTTAATACAACTTAAGATAGAATGATCGACCGTCTACTAATTTCGACACATATATATTATATATTATAATGTAAATTAATAATATAAGTTATAAATCAATAATATTATACTATCCATTCATTTACGTTGGTTTTCATCGAAGAGTAAACACGAAATTATTTTTTGCTTAATTATTATTCGAAAACACAATTAGTATTCAATGAAAATGTATGGTTGTTGTTTTATTTAAATGGTTGATTGTATTTTTTAAGAATTTTTTTTTTTTTTGCTGTTATGTTTATTGAAAAATGAAGCGTTATTTGAGATGAAGAATAAACCTATACAGTAAAAATTAAATGACATGCATGCGATTTGAACACAAAAAAAATTTGTCACTTCAGCGATTTTAATACATAATATATTGAGTACTTATCTCTTGTCTCATTTTGTTTACAAGGCTTATATTATATTCAATCGAACTAATAAATAAAACTTATGATAAAAATTACTTTTAAATTTCATATTAAAATTATAGTTCAAATTCAATTCTTGAAAAACGTATTTTCATATATAGTATGTTCCCATAAAACAAGCAGTTCCCCATTAGTTCCTTAAATCCGAGTAGAATTGAATCACACTATAAATTATATATAAGTAATGTATATACAAAGTTAAAGTTTTTAGATTTATTATTGAGATTTGTGAAAATATAAATACTAAAATATCGAGAAACAAAATTAGAAGTCAATTTTATCTGGTATGGTAAAATGTACAATAAAAAGTATTTCCTTAATTTAGGATTTTATTTGAGTATCATTGATTAGGTTTATCATATTAATTCATTTTTGGTATGAGAACAAATGATCTATACGCTGAATATCGAAGAACCAGAAGTATCCATGTACATAATTGAATTTGGTTCCCGTTTATTTGAAAAAATACATTGCAGACGTCTACAAAATATTTTATAAATTAAAATAAATTATAAATATAGGTACTAAAGTTTTTCGACGAATAGAATTTCATATAAGTATCCAAAGTATCTTCATATGCTTTACTTTTGATATTTAGTTTCCTAAAACGTAGATTCGATAAGTACTAATAGCATAATGTAATTCCCAATGGGGAGTCGCGACCACTTTCCGATGTTATCGAGAACTCAGTAAAATATAATAGTAGTAGAGTTTATAATCACCTTTTGTTTGGAGTTTTTAGTATTGTCAAATGTTAATTTTCTTACAAATTTGATTCTTATTAACCCGAACAGATATGATTTAGTTCAAATTGGTTTTTTATACGTCATTGTTATTTTGTATACACCCTTTGATAAAACGATGTGTTATGGAATGAAAACCAGTTATGGGTTTTATATTTTACAATTATCTTGTTTTCGTATGATAAATTTATCTTTAAAAGAATATTATACCTCAATAAATAATTAGATCAACTGGTACCTATACGCATTCTCAGAGCAGTGACCGATCGTGTGCTCCGAAAACCATACCAGTGTCTGGGTATTTTTTTAACCGTGACCTGTTTCAAAAAGTAATATCTAAGTGAACTCGATCTTCATGACACCCTCGTTGTAAGCAAGGAGACGATTGTTATTCGGTCACGGCTTTATAGGACTAATCTATATAGTTTATTGTCTGAGATTCCATGACGCTATCAGTCACGCCTGCACAAAATGTCTTCTTGGGAACAATATACAAAACTTAATATTTGGTAGGTATACCCGTTTATATTAATATTTTCGCGTCTAGAGAACCTAAGAAGTGAACTTTGATAATTATCTGTATTCGTTCGTGTTTTTTACTGTTTTTAAATGACAAACATTAAAGTTAAATTATTTTAAATAATCAACAAATTCACAATCTCGTCACTATCAAAAGGCACTTAAATGTTTAAAATACAATTAGAAAAAACAAAGTAAAACGATGATAATATTAAATGTTAAATGTATACATGTAAATATAAGATCAGCTAAACAACTAAAATAATTTCATTAGTTTTATATTATGAATTATTATATCCATATCCCTATTATGTGTAATAGATATGGTTTTGTAATTATTAAATCCGTTTAACATTTGTATCTAATTTAAAATTATATTATTAGTAGTAGTTTATTATGCTATTTTATTATTTTAATAAAATACTTAATACAAACAATAGTTAATACCATAATTTTATTTTTAAATACATTCTGTAAGTTAAATTGTAAATACAAAATTAGGTATGTTTTTAAGAAGGCGAGGTCATTAAACTAGAAACCTTTCTTGAAACTTTAATCCATATCACTTCGTGCTGTAGGTCATAGAAACCTTTTAAATAAAAAGATAAAAATTTATATTTATAGTACTTAACGCCTATAGTTCTTCTTACTTTATTTTTAATTAGTAAAAAAGATAAAATATATTAAAAAAATAAATACATTCAGGTACCAAAATGTTTTTTAATTTCTATGGCCATCCAAAATTTTACTTTAACACCTCATAATATGTCCTGAAAATACAGAATTTTAAAAATTTTAGTCAGTATTATTTTACTCCGATTCTAAGCATTTCCTTTGTTAAATTTGTCTGAGGGTTAGAATAATAAATTAAACCTAAGGGCACTTGACATTTTTGGTATTAAATGACCATAAACCGTCTTACAATCACTAATGCCGTATTATTTATGTTATAACGCACTACATGTGATGATATATTTATTCTTCTTAACGATAAATGTTAATATTTTGTTTTTAGATCGAATGAATAAGACAAATATGACAGATTTCCAAAGGACCCGGAGTAAAGTGTGGTTCTCGAACGACGACGATGAAGATATTCATCACTCGTGGCGCCGACAACCATCTTCGTCACCAGAGAGTAGACGCGTGTTATCTGGAAGTCCGAGCAATGGTAGTCACAAGTCTCAAGATTCGGGTTTTTCCGACTCGGAGAGTAGTCCTCTTGGACTTTCCAAAGCTTTGCCAAAAGAAGAAAAACAACTGCAGGACGAAACGAATGTATTCACCGACAAACTGCCGGGCGGTATTTTATCGGAAACTTCAGTTTCCAGAATTCCGTCACCATGTGAGTCACAACAATCAGACATATGCAACTGCTTTTTGCCAGCTTGCGAATTGTCGAGGAAGTTTCGTTCGCTTGAATACGTGGCAGATGCAGATACATCATCACCGTTCAGAAAGACTAAAAGATACGAAGAAGAACTGCGGACGCCCAACCGGACATGTTTTATCGTCGACGAATTACCTAAAAGTAACGTAGTGCTATCAACACCGAGTTCAACCAAAAGTTTTGACGGACATTTCGATCAGTCAGAAAACGTCACCGTCGTAGAAAATGTCAAACAGGACGGTGGTAGCAATGACAATTTGATTATCGATCCGCCTACACCATTTGTCGATCGTTTAAACAATGCTGATTCTATTAGTCTTTGTGAGTCTGATAGACCTGATACACCTGAACACACGTCCACACCAAAATCAACCAAAGACAGATGTTGCACTCCTAAATTGCATTATAGAAAAGAGCTGCAACTGAGGAAACCAAAATGTCTACAAATCAATACTGACAGGTACAATATATGTTTACTTTGGTTTATTTAGTTAATACTAAAATGATTACATAACGTATATTCTGAATAATCAGGTTTTCTTTATCATTTCGTCCTGATAACTAATCACTTACAATAAAAACAGTTTGTCCATTTCTGGTACTTATTTATAAATATATTTATTTATTTATTAGGTTTTTTATTCAATCTAATTGAAAATAAAATATAATTAAAAATATATTTTCATATAAATAAAATATTTAACTTTAATATCAGTTTAAAATATAATCTTAATAATTATTATCTATAGAACTGAACGTGAAAACGAAGTACCCGTTGGACAATGGTTAAATGAACTAAGGTTTAGATGTGAACCTGAATGTATGACCACCTTACAATCGAAATCAATTGCTACTTCTGAAGATGCGTGCCGTTTTTCTACAATTGTCTGTACAGATTCTGAAATTATACGGGACCTTTACCAACGTACAAAAGCTATTTCTGATGAATTTAAAAAAGTTTACAAGTATGTGCAAAAAAATAGTTATATTTTATAATATATATTATTATACTATTATATTGTATAAAATATTTTAATATTCTAAATTTTAAATGTTATAATATAAAATATTTATATTATATTAAATATTATTTTCAAAATTATTAGATGATTACGTTTTATTATTTTTTTCAGCGATTTAAATAAATGTCGAATTGATAATTTTGGCCCATCTGTCCAAACATTAACTGGTTTACTGTTAGACTTTGTTTGTGATCACGAAAGTGAGCTACCTGAACAAGGTCAAGATTTATGTATGGACTTAGTTGATGTTACGGAGAAACTAAGAGTCCACGCTAACCGACGTCTGGGCAACAGAAAAATAATTCTTAACGACGTTTCCGCACTGGGACAAATATTTAGCGAATTAATTGACGCATTGTTAATGAAGAGAATACAGGTTAGTTCGAATTTTGAATTATTTTTCATCAGATTATAATTTGTTTTTGTTGTATTGTTATTCTTTAGTCTTTGGTCAATATTTTGGAAGAACCAAGCACTGATATCGAACTCGTCAAAACCATGTCTAGCATCAACAGTTTAGGTTTGGAAAGTGTTCATCTCGGTAGTCTGGTAACAAAATGTAATGGTGTACGATCACTGCTAACCGTTTGCCTAGATGCTGTATCTAGTACAGTTAGATCAGCTGCTCTGCGCACATTAGCCATGGTATGTTGTTCGTCGGACAGCATCAGACAATTTGAAAAGGTAACTAAAATAATTAATTTTATACTGATATAGTAATTTTACAGAATTCTTTTAGTAGTTCAGAGATATAATATAGTTTAGGTTTTTGACCGTTTTAAATAAAAATGTTTAAATATACTGATAATTATTTTGTTATAATAATAGGCTGGAGGTGTAGAAATTATATCTGACATTTTAGGAAGTAAAACTCGCTCGGAAAAAGAACTCACCGACGCTGTGTCAGTATTAGCTCAGATAACTGCTCCTTGGATCGAAGACAACCACGTAGTCAATGGTCTTAACGAATATCTAGACACTATTATATCCTCGTTAACATGTACGTGTTTAAATATTTCTTAAATACTTAATTTTTCTAATGCCTACAATGCATTTTATTCTCATCATTTTATTTTTAATATGTTCCCAGACCTAGTGGAGACTACTCATTCTTCGGAAACATTGTTGTTGTCAGCTGCTGCTTTAGCCAACATTACGTTCATGGAACCGAACGCGATTTGGACAATATTGAACATGGGAACCGCTGGATCCTTGATCGAAGCGGTTAGGAAAAATGGTACCAAGTCATCGGTGTTTTTGCAGGAACAAACAGCGACGCTATTGGCCAACATGGCAGCAGTCCCTGAAACCAGACCACACATGGCAGCCAATCACGCAGTGATTGCTTTACTATGTTTCCTACAAGTACGACACTCACCGTTACAACGCATTCCAGAGATATTGGCTGCTGAACGTCTACAGCACAAGACCGCTATCGCCTTGTCCAGGTAAACGGTTATTTCACATAATAATTGTCATGCATTAACTATACCAATATCTTTCGTATTCCAGCAAGGCTTAACATTTTCGATTGTTCGTATTACACTCTAAACTTTAAATAAATATACTTAGTCTGTGACGTATTTTGCTGTTAAAGATTAACCTATATCTTATGATATCTGATTTGAATGTATCATAGAAATTATGTGTATTTGTTTGTATAAGAAACAATTTTGTGACTTCAATGAATAAGATTTTATGCCACATTTTCAAATTTCAAAGCAGTACACACTTAACTTTTCTTATAACACAAATAGTGTGTCGTAGTACTTTAATCCCTGGTCACTGTGCATGATGAATACTATATGAATACGGTGGCGAAAGAAATTTGTGTGGATGATCAAAAAACGAAGTTGCTTCTTGATTTTTCAAAAACTTTGGAATAGATAAATGACATAATGCATAATGTGAAATCGTAACGTAATTATTTATTTTTAAATATATCCGCTGTATTAAGTCATATGCCGTAAATATAGAACATAATTATTAGGTTTCTGGACCAAATTTCGGGTGGATGGGTTAGTTTTTCAAAACTCGTTTATGAATTATAAGATACATCAGTTTATGTTGTCACGGTAGTGTTATGCGCCCGCGTATCGATATTATAGTTCGAAATTAAATTATTGAAATACTATTATAATTGCTTCCAACTCATATAATGTACTATAAGTCCGCCACATAACTTGCACGGGCTCTGTATGGATCACCGTAATTATTCATTATTATCGTTATTATATATAGATTGTGCAGTGACGTAGAAGTGTCGAAACAAATCGTGGAACTGGAAGGCGTTAACCGTCTGATTAGGTTATGCAAAGACGAACGGGAACGAAATCACAGCGACGGAGTACTAGTGGCATGCTTGGTAAGTACCTATACCTTTTTTACCAGGTATTTATTTTAATTCTATATTAAAAAAATTGTCAATGACATTTACACGTATCGCCAAATAATGTATCAATACCTACATCCCGTATAATACGAACAATTATCCGATCATCGGTCTTTACTGTGTAGAAAATATCTTCTAATGAAGTCCTGCTAGGTGTCCTGTATAGTTCATAAATATTATATTTTATTTATTTAGATTTACTTCAGTAATAAGGAAATTATAGAATACAATATCGAATTATTATAATTATATTGATTTAACCATTTTCGGAATAATTTTTTTATCGATTTTTAAAAATGTATTACTTATAGACAGGAGGCTATACGTGTGAACCATTGATTATAAATTGTTATAGTATTTATAATCAATGGTGTGAACGTATACCAATAATATACGTGTGTTGTGTATTTAATTTGTTCATTTTGTATTTCAGTCCAAACAAATAACCTGTTTTTATTTGAAAGACGTTTCAATGTCCCTTAGACCAAATATTTTTTCGTGTTCTTATATAAACACACACAAATATAAATTAATATCGTAATGTTATTTACTCCTCAATCATACAGTTATTCACATTTTTGAAAACAAAATATAAAATAATGAACTTTTTTTTTTTTAATTATTAATTCGATTTTTTAAAATCTTGTTTTGTAACACTGTCCTAAAAGTCTAAATATAACGTGTAGGGACCCATAAAATTAAAAAAAAATCTAATTATCAAGCCAGAATATGTTTTAGTGTAACATATACCTATACCTAATACGGTTGATTGATATGTATTAATACATCAAATTATTAAAAATCAAATATAATTACCAGCTAAGTAAAGGGTACATTTCATAACGACTTAGAAAAAGTATGAATGAAAATCGTGTTGTTGTTAAATAACTAATGTGTTTTGTTTAGGCCTCGTTACGAAAAATCGCTGCCAATTGTGGCAGAGACATCATGAACGAATGTGACGCCGCCGAGCTGATCGAACCAAGACTGCTGGACTCATTTCTTTTGTACTCATCAAAACAAGAGAGTTACGTTTGAATATTTCAACCCAAAGAAGTAAATCAAACTTGATCATACGTCCATGCTTATTGCACAATATGTACACACTTACATGTTAGCATAATATGTATAATTATTGTTTTATTAACCACTGAATGTGCGTATGTAAAATTTATTTTATGTAGCTTTTATATTATATATTATACCCATTAGGCTGTTTATAAATATATTTTATTTTTATCTAGTCCACATATATCATGACAAGTGCCAATGTAGATGATAATATTTAGATGGTATTGTACTGTCTTTTGTCACTAACTCTGTAACTATTATTGCTATTATTATTATTATTATATATATAAATAAATACATTTTTTATACATATTACTTAATCCCCTCAATGTTTATATATTATTGATATATATTTGAAATAAGTTTAAGTTAATTGATTAACATTTAAATAACATTATAATTATTAAATAATAATTTTTTACTTTTATAATTTGTATAAGGAAAAAACCCAAACATGTTTGTATATTATTTATGTAGACTACAATTATAAATTACCGTTGTTGATTACGATTACTTTTGAGTTCTGTAATTTAGATACATTAAAATAAAGTACTGTAACCTTATTTAATTTGTGAACTATATTATTTCATTATGCAATAGACTTTCAAAAAATTATCACAAGTGATAGAATAAATATTCATAGTTTTCAAGCATATGATTTCCATGCTAAATTACTTATGTATCAAAGGATAGCGAATATCACTATTTTGAAGTGAAAAGTTAAATTAAATTATAATAATAATAAATCAAAATAGTGTGAAGTTCCAAAGGAATTTCCTCAATGAAGAGTATGCTGGAATAGTATTTGAAGCAATTACATTAAAAAAAACATTATTTCAAAATAATTTTTTTTTTTATTAAAGTTGCAAGTCAAAAAGAGAACAAAAATTAGTCAAATAGACCGAAGCCCATATCGTCATCCTCTTCTTCTTCACTTTCAACTTCTTCTTTCTTAGTTTCTTGTACTGGAGCTGCACTTTCAGTAGGAGCAGCAACAGCAACAGCAAACTTAGATGGATCCTATAATTTAAATTTAATTAAAATCAAATGTTTAATAAAAATTATTTAGATTAGGTTATTACCTTCAAATACTCCTTGAAAGTTGTAGCTTCTTTGAATTCAATTTCAGTTTCAGCAGCAACTGCGACCAAGTTCTTGAAACCATTGATCAACATATGAGGAGCAGATATCAAAGTTGGATAATTGATTGCAAGACAAGCAGCAGTCACATGAGCAACTCCCTACAAACAAAACATCATATTTTATTGTATTTTAGATAAATATAGATATGGATAGTTGAACTATTTTAGTAATTATATCAAAATAAAACTTCATTAATTTTTATTAAAGTTATTATTATAATTTTTCACCAAATAGACGTTATTAAGTTAATTTAATTAATTATATTTCAATATTTAAACAAGGGATATAAATTTCATAAAGAATGCATATACTTATATCTGAAATGTATGTTCAATATTATATTTGATGTAAAACAAATTTTTTAATCTAGTAAAAAATATCTATTTTAACATTAATAATATATTCTATCAAATTTATAAGAATATTTCATAATGCATCTACTACTAAATTATTTAACTGAAGGCTACATCAAATGATTTCAATTTTCTAAGGAAATTGTACACAAACAGTGTTGATAAGAATAAATGTTTTTACCAAGTGATCAGCATGACAGTAAATTTATTAATCCTTGATAGCACAGATGATATCGGACTATAGCGGATTTCATTAAAGGTGGCATGTATGGTGTTACTCTTTAGGAAATTCAGGTGTTTATAAAATGTTCAGATAGTTCCGCAAACTCAAGTGATATTTATTATAGGAGTATATAGCAATATTTCAGTTAACTTATCATAGTCATTTTTACTGGCCTTTAGTATTTTGCTGCTACATTATTATTGTCAGTCATAACAAAATTAACAATTTTATAGCTTGTTTAGTAAAGGTAATACGCATCATGTTTATCGTTTTGTTACAATAGTTTCATATTCGTTGACATTTTATAATTAAAACATTTAAGTATTTTATTAATGTTATTTGAAAAATGTTTTATTATGTTCGATATACATCCAAAGATTTAAAAAGTAACAATATTTGTTTACATTTTATTAATATGTTTAATGTATGAATTATTAATTTTACATTTTGATTCTCAAAAAAATTAAAAAAATCAAATTAAATTACATGACAAAAAAAAATAAATAAAAATAATAATAAGGTTATAATTATTTTCATTGATTACTTTACTTTTAAGAAACTAGAAGAAAATTGAAAATGTTCAGTTTATTTTAATCCATTATATAATAAATGATAAAACTAATAGCATACATTTTTATACCACCATCATTACTAAAAGTTAAATTATGGTATTGAATGAACATACTATATATGACAAATTCAAGCAAGCCCAGGCAAATGCATTTATCAACAATAAAATATTCAGTTGAAGAAAGAAGAAATAAACACTATATTCATCAATATTTGTAAATAAAGTTTTAGAAATTTATTTAAATAATTAACTCAGATTAATATTATCAACATTATATCTTCTGACGGGAAAAGAAGACAAAAATATTAAATAATGAATCATCATCATTAATTATTTTCCATTAAATATTATTACAAATTAACTCAGATTTAAATTATCAACATAATGACTTCTGACGGGAAAAGAAGACAAAAAAATTTAATTATGAATCATCATTATTAACATATTTATTTTACATAAATACTTAACCAAATAAAAACAAACTTACCCCTAAGAAAGTTTTCAATAAATCTTCAGGTTTGATGTCCAAGATTTCTGGTTCAAAGATAGTTCCAGAATCATATACCATTTGTACAGCTAAACCATATGAAAACGGAGAAATATTCAACATGTTCAATAATGTTGCTTCAGAAGCTCCGACTTTGTCACCTTCTTTCAAAATATGCACATCATTCTAAACATGTTGTAATTAATAAAAAATAATCCATTACATTATGATTTATATAACTTACAATAATTTCAATTGTACCCTTGGAAATTTTCGTTGGAATAGAAAGTGCTTGGAAGAAAGATGTTTTTTCAGGTCCAAGACCAGTGTTCTGAGCCGGAATGATGACAGGGCAAGGAGCAATAGCACCAGGACGAGCTGGAGCACGTACTTTATTTTCCAAAAGCTTATCTCTAATCTCAACTAAATCACAACGAGTAAAAACAAAGCCTACATTTCCTCTAATGTGAGCCAAGATCCTAAAATAATTATAAAAAGTTTTTAATTACAGTTTTTTGTTAAGATAAATTTCTGGTAAATAAATATAAAATAATTTATTAACTTCTATACAGTAAATCAGACTGCCATAAGGCAATTAACATCAATAAATATCAATCCACACCAATGGGTTCAACCATTTCTGGCCTTGGCATGTTAACGATTGATATTTTAAGAAATAAGTGTTCATCACAATTACTGCAAATACAATAAAACCTTTCCTCTAACTTTAATAGTTTCAGACAGCAATAAATGCATTTTCCTGCAATAAGCTTTGTCCGCACCAATGGGTTCAACCATTTCTGGCGTTGATGCGTTAAGATTCCACTTATTCAGTTATAATGTTATCATCATAAACTTTAATAATTTGTAAAAATAAATAAATTATCATAATAATACTTTTCAAGCGATTGGTTCCTGTCAATATGTCCTTTTATAGCCTTCCTCATCATAGTGTTCTTGCCCATCAATACTACAGCATTTCCACGAAGACTAATACGAATTTGCTGCATTTGCTTTGAACCCACATTATCAGCCCCCACAATGAAACATTTTGGGAACTCATCAAGTAAGTTCTAAAATAATAAACAAATTTTTTTAAATTTACAGTTTTATGTTAACAAAAATAAATGTAATACATACCACCAACTTCACAAAGTAGTTAGCTTTCCAAGTCGCTCTGTCCTCTCTACCCATCTTGTGGTGTAGAGATGTAAATACGTTTAAGAACTAAAAACCAAATATTACATTTATTAATTTCTATTTTCTATAAAGTTAATTGCAAAGAAAATTAAAATAAATAAACGTGAGATATCGTAATATTATAGGTTATGTTAGCAATAATAGTTTGACATGTAAAATTGTAGTAAATCGTAAATTAATTATTAGGAAGACGTTAAAATGCCTAGTAAAAATTATCGAATTCAATAAGAAATCAAAAACAAAAAGAAATAAAAACGAACACAACAAATTTATGACAAAAACCATGTGCGCAAATGTAGGTTGAAATACCTTTGATAAGGCATCTATAAGGTACTTGTCATTAATCTCAAATGTAATATGAATTTTTTAGAATGAAATAAAGGTGAATTGTATTTTGAAGTAATTACTTACCTAAGCGACACGCTTATATTAAAAAATGATGAAAAATTCGGGTTTTCGAATTTTCTATCGAGTCGTGGCCTCTGAAAGAGACCAAGCGGCGTGTCTCGTGTGAATAAATGAGCGATAGCAATTCCAAAGAAGGGATGGACAACAAACTGACTTCATGGAATAAGAAAAATATTCAATGACTTGGAAAGTAAAATAGTATTAATTTTATTCGTTCATAAAGCGCGTTTTTTAAAAACAAAACATTTATAAAACGTAAAGTATTTAAAACCCTAATTTTCTAATCCAAGCCACATTATAATTTCCAGGAAACCTACCGAAATGACCTAATAGAAAATAATGCAGGGAATTTTTTAACAACTAAAAATTTAAAAGTTATATGAAAAAGAAAAAATTTAATTAGGCATCAGATGTCACCTCCATGTTTCTTCAACCATCACGCTGTATCTTACTATTTCTATCACGTATTCTTATTCTGCCCTACACACATATTGTACAAATTTTAAAAAAAAAAATTTAAATTAATTATTAATTTGAAAAAATGTGAAACTTATAAAATGCATTATTATAACAAAATTTACCAAAAATTATAAAAATGTATATACTTACAACGTACATGCTCAGTGGTGTATCCATGGGGGGGGGGGGTTTGGGGGTCAGAACTCCCCCTACGAAACCTGAGATAGTAAATTAACTTTTACGTGAAACACGGTTTTTTCTTTAACATTTTTATATTTAAGAATTTTGACTTGGAAATCATATTAATAGTTTGTATAAATACTATGAACGTATTATACATACGTTTCACATACACACAAGTCATAATATTATAATCATATTTAGATACTTTACTACTACTTTGATAATTTTTGCTTGGGAACATATTATATAGGTTTTCTACAACGGTTGACTCTAAATCGGTCTTCTGGTCCCGATAATTGAGATAAAAGTGATATCATTGTCTGTATTCAAAGTTTATTTTTGGTATACCTATTGCATTCGCAGCTCGCTGATCATTTAACACAAGCACTTTATTGTGTAAAACTAATAGTTACTCGTATTATATAGTTATAATTAATAGTTGGTCGTTCTCCGTTGGTGTTTCACTGTTTTACTTACTACTCGTTTATTCGTTTATATTTGACATTTGTATTCCATTACATTTGTTTTATTTTAATTTGACATCATTCTAAGACATCTAAACATTCCATTATGGTAAGATATTTTTAAAATTTAATTTTTAGTATACCTAAGTGATTGGACAGAAAATATTCTAATATCTAATACTTATGTTTCTATATTAGTCCCTAGCTCCTAAATTGTTATTATTATTATTTATTATTATAGAAAAATTTTTTAACAAATAAGCAGACTAGAAAAATTAATTATTTTTTTTTACCTGAGTCAAAAAAACTAATGTCAACCAGACTTAAAAATACCGATATCAATACAAATAGTAGTCAAAATGATAGTGATAAGATTAAATATATATAAATTTGCTGAACCCCCCTCCATAAAAAGTTCCTGGCTACGCCAATGTATAAGCCAAATTGTATTTTGTAAGTCACCAAACATTTGTATGAGAATAATTGAAAAAGTAAAAATCCACTTCAAAAATACAGATTTATATTGACCAAAATTTAGTCTAAATTTACTGTACTTAAAAATCTATTATACAATAATCGAGTACATCATCACATATTCACGCACATAGTATCAGTTGCTATATTATCATTTTTGACTCTTAGCGCAAAAGTGTCATCTCCACTTTTCATACGGACCACCAATGTTCAACGATGTGGTCCAATCAATGCGTACTCAAGGAGGGGTTCGGGCCGAACCCCTCATTGAAATTTCTACATACTCAATGATTTAATAGTAAATAGTATGATAATAGTATATAATGTATTTTAATTTCCCATTATCAGATAAAATAAAAATTTTGGACTCCCCCCTCATAAAAATTCCTGGGTACGCTCCTGAGTTCAATAATTATGTGTATTCATTTAATAGTTATTTTCATTAAAGTATACATTTAGTATTTTATAAACATTTCACGGTTTTACAAAAAAAATTGTTTTGTAGACTTTCGTTAAATTGATATTCGATTTTATTTGTTTTCTATGGAATCTGGATATGTAAGTTTACTATACCGACAGAAAAAACAACATGAACAATTTCAACAATGGATACAACTCAGAGGTTATAAATAGGGCTCGAATGTTTATACACTTAAAATAACTGTAATATTTATATAATTATTCATTTTTGCTAAAGAAAACACTAAAATATGCAGAATACAACGTATTTTACCATTAGTATTAAAAATTAAAAATATATTATAATTTACGTTCTTAAATTTTATTAGTAGTTAATTTTATATATTTTTATTATCATATACTAACTTACAATATTAGCGTTACACTGTGGCACAATGGTTCTTTTTTTAGGTTAATCAAATTAGAAACTAAAAATATTTGAGACAAACACAATTTGGTATACAGGTCAACAATATATTAATTTATCCACCCGTTAATTTAAATGATTTTTAAAAAAAATTCGAAAATATACTAAAATGTGTATTCATATTCTACAAATCCCAAAAATATGCATTTAAAATATAAAACCATAAAATATGCAAAATTATGCTCAATAAAAAAAGTATTATTTGATTCAGTAGAACGTGAACCAAATGTGGATCCTGATTCGCATTAAATAGGATCAATAGAAAAAAATATTTCATAAACATCCGAGCCGGAGTTATATCAGAACATAAGTTGACATAAATTACAGCACAGAACAATAGTCATAGTGTATTCAATGTATAGAATAATAATTACTCAGTGATTCAATGGTGTGGGCACAATAAGCGAGATAAGATAAAAAAAGGTATATAATCTGTGGTATAAGGTCTATGGTTATCTACAATGATAATATCGGCGGTCATGGCTGTAGCTGCGGCTACTGGTGACAAACATTACGTTCCGATAATAATGATAGTAATAAATATCTGTATAAAATACTATAACTGTATAGTAACTAACGTTAACTGTTTACTTTTACTTCAGCTACTATATTAGCTACTTATAAGTAGTAATCATTAGTCAGTTCCCTGAACTCTGTAATGCTGTGCGTGCCGTCTGGTTCTTGTGTACTAGTTGACATAATTTTTCATAACAAAGTACTCTGTTGTAAATTCATGTTAGTGATTATTCAGTATTCTTCATTGGGTACCTAAGTAATTGAATATGCTTAGAAAACAAAGAATTCATTAAATATAACTCATAGAAATGTTTTGTATCTTTACTGCTAGTATCTAATCTTATTTCAATAAATAATCATGTGTTACGAAAACAACATTTTATGTAGATTATTATACTTTACAAATTTATTCGGCTTACAATATTTTACATCTATTGCAATACATTTTGAATAACTTATATGATCATAAATGAACACCATTTTACATTTTTATCATGAGTATTAGTGACTGCAGTATAACCGCTGGAAATTCTGTGGTTTATTTGGATATTGAAATAGGACAAGAAAAAAAGTGAGTAAAATGTTTATTAAAAGTATAATACATTTGTTTTATAAATCGAACTAAAATTCTACAGTCCGTTAAAACAATTAATTTTTAAGCTATTTGATTGTTTCTTAATTATTCTTATTTATTTTTATAGTTGGAAGAATCATCATAGAACTATTTAATAATACAGTACCTAAAACAGCTGAAAATTTTAGAGCTCTTTGTACTGGTGAAAAAGGTATTGGTTTATCAGGATTACCATTACATTTAAAAGGATCACAATTTCATAAAGGTAATATTTTAACAAGTATTAGTAAACAATAATTTTTATTCTTTAGATAATATGAAATTATCCTTACATTTTTAAATATGATTACACTTTTATTATTAATCATTACATTTTCTCTGAATAAATATATGAATTAATGTAAATTGTTGTTTGTTTAAAATGTTCTTGTATAAGATACATTTAAACATTTATTTTTGTATTTTTGTAAATGTGAAACTAAATTATATGCATAGTAAGCATACAATTGTCAATGTACAAGAGACTTTAATGTATTTTTTTTTTTTTTGTGTATAATTTTAGCTATTCCTGAATTTATGATTCAAGGAGGTGACATTACTGTTGGTAATGGTAGTGGAGGAGAAAGTATATATGGTTGGTTCTTTGACGATGAAAACTTCAAATGCCTGGTAAATTATATAATTTTTTTATGTTCATATCCATTTCAATAATAGATATTTTAATATTTAGCTTAAATTTAAATAGGATATCTAAATTGGATATCTACAATTTTTATTTTAGTTTTATTAATTGTAAAGCTTTTTTGCTTATTATTGTAATATAGATACTACACAAATATAGATTTAACAGTATTTATCACTTAGTCTAAGATTTTTTTGGTGGTAGCTTCTTATATAATAATGAATTTAGTGTTAATTTAAAGAATGTCACTACTAAAATAAATTGATTAATTAATTTATGTCTAATTTCAAATAAAGTAAATTACCTCTACTTGTAAAATATTATCTTATACAATTACGGTAAAAATATACAATTATAATTTATGAAAATAATTAGATAACAGAGAAGAAGAGATAAAACATAAACATAAACAGTTAGTAGTTAAGCGGGAGCCGAGAAATAATTTTTAATTTAGCATATTAATATTTACACTGATATAAATTACCTTATTCTATACTACTTTACTACTTTCTGACTTTGTTCACTAAAAGTAAAATATAAATTTTTATTTATATTGCATAAATAGATATGAATAATGTTTTTGTAATATTACAATATTAGTATAAAACTAAGGGTTGTGTGTTTATTTATTCAAACATAATTCATAAATAATAGTATTAATACTAACAATAAATATTATAATAATATAAAATTATTATTTATATATTTATTATTATTTGAACTTCAGCATGAACCTGGTGTAATAAGTATGGCTAATACTGGTAATGTCAACACAAATAACTCACAGTTTTTCATTACAACTGTTCCATGTCCACATTTAGATGGCAATAATGTTGTTTTTGGAAAAGTAAAAAAAGGATTTTGTGTTGTCCAAACTATTTCAAATACACCTACAATAAATGATGCTCCTATAAATGTAAGTAAAGTAAAATGTTACAATTACCTATTTGTTCAATCTAAAGTTTCATTGGGTTTTTCAAAGTTTGATAATTACTTTTTTTTTATTAAATTATATTCAGAAAGTTAATTATTATGTTGTACATTATTTTAATATTTTTTTCTTTTTTGCCCTTATATTACAATACCATACTTAATTTTCAAATTAATTTTATTTTATAAAATATTTATTTAGATAAATATCTTGGTGTTTATTACTTTAAGAACTTTAGGTTAAACTCAAATTGTATTATAATATAACAAAAATGACATACTTATGACCTGTATAAACAGTTTAATTTTTTCTTAAAATGATAGAAAAAATATATAGAAATTAATAATTTAGAATTTAATCTTGATAATTTTATAATTTTCAGCCTTGTGTAATTAAAGATTGTGGTGAATTATCAAGTGATAGCAGTACTTGGATTATTCATGAAAATGATAATACGAATGATACTTTTCCCCCTTTTCCTGAAGATTGGTCAATTCATCAAACAGATATTGATGTAATTATTTTATATTATAATTAAAACTATTTTGTTTTTTAATAATTTTATTTTTTCAAGGTTGTACAGTTTTGTAAAGTACTTAATCAGATTAAAGAATCTGGTAATCATCACTTCAATTGTAAAAATTATTTTGGTGCTAGAAGAAAATATGATAAAGTCTTACGATATATTGATTGGTAAATATTTTATACTTTTACATTAAATTAAAAACTATTTCTACTAAATAAAATCAAATGTGTATAGTAAAAAATAATTCGCAGTTTAAGTTAATATATTACCTACATTAACATATTTTTCTTTATATTTTATTTATATTTATATTATTTATTTTATGTATATTTTAAATTATTAATCATCCTACATTTGATTTAAATAGTTTCAAAATAGTGATAATAATGCCATTATTTAACTAGGGGATTAATCATTGGAATAGCAGTTCTCATGTTTGATTCTCAGTACGACTGCTAATATTTTGTTTCTTGATTTTCCATGTCTATCAATTGATATTCGAATGGCTTATTTTTTAATAATTGATTACATTTTACATACCTAGAAATCATATTTTTTGTAATAGCTATATTTATTGAAAAATGTTCAGGTACTATCAGTGGTGTTGGAAGACTCGCTAGCGCCCCTGGTAAACTTAGACAAAAACGCTTTTCAATCAATTATAATTTGATGTTAGGATATTTTTTTTAAGGATACAATTTATATGTATAAGTTTGTAATAACAACTTATAAATTCATCAATAATTTCTTCATATGAAATTTATTATTTAAATGCCCTTGTGCTATATTCATAATTTTATCATTAAATTCACATATAGTGTGTACAAATTGACTACATCAACATAGATACAAGTATAAAAGAAAAATTTTGATTTGATTGTAGGATAAAAAATGACTTTTGCACAATTTTGCGCCTCTTTGCAATTTGCCCCCCTGGCATTGGCATAGTTCACCATATTCTTACTATGCCACTAGGTACTATAAGGTTTTGGGTGTTTGTATTTTGTAACTAAATTTACTGATAATAATATTTTATGAAATACTAGATATTTAAATTAAAGATATTCATACTTATAAACTAAATTCATTTTTTCAGGTATATAGGTTATCATAATAAATCTCAAATTAATTTTGAAATGCTTGAAAATGTAAAATTGAATACTTTCTTAAATTTAGCCTATGTTTATTTGAAAAGAAAGAATTACAAAAGTGCTATTAAATTTTCTAAACAAGTAAGTTTAACTTCAGTTGTCTTTTCTATTCACATTAAGAACAGTCCTATAAACTAGTTTATATCAGTTATTGACTAGCTTGTTTGTCCTTTATAATTACCCATTAATGCAAAATTACAACCACCTTTACACAAGTCTGCAATTTTAAAATGTTCTTGTTGTGAATAGACTATAATATACAAAAATACTATACACAATTTTCAGAAATGTATAACATCAATAATGAAATTAAACAACTTTAGAAAATTATAAGTTTATAAAAAGACACTTGGAATTAAGATGTTATTGTTTCATTTTAATATATTTTAATTTTTTAATTTTAAAATAATTAAAAAATAATATATTTAACCTTTACAGGTTTTAGATATAGACTGTAATAATGTAAAAGCACTTTTTCGTCTTGGTCAAGCATATGGATCACTTAATTATTATGATCAAGCTATTATAAGTTTTAAAAAGGCATTAGAAATATTTCCAGATGAAAAGAAATTTTTAATTGAGTTAAAAAAAATAGAACAAGCTCAAAAACAATACTTAAAAATTGAAAAAAAAATGTGTTCAAAGATGCTAAATTAATGAGAAATTGAATCCTAAAAATTATAATGATTTTAAATACATATTTTTGAAAACATTTTGTTATTGTTGAAATAGAGAAAATTACATTTATTAAACCTAATTTATATAATATATTATTTATATTTGACTTTTTATTTTATCCTTATCATTTTTATCTTTTTTTTTTATCATTATTCAGTTTTTGATTAACTAATTAAGTGAACTGATTTATGGAACTATCTGTTTTTTACTTCTAATAATATATAATTAATAATATATGTGACTTTGTTTGACTATTTCCAAAATTTGTATGCCACCTTCTTCCATCCCGCTCGTGTAAAAAAACAATTCTGCTTTGTTTTCAATTTCTTCAGACAATTCTCTTAAAAAAAAAAAAAGGGAAGTCCTTAGGTGCCAAAAAATAATTAAATGTTTATGAAAACGGAAAAATTTGTATAAAGTAAATTGTATTCGTGGGGTATCATTTACAAATTATTATTTTTAATTATAGTTGATTAAGACATTTTTATTTGTATAATAAACAGCAGTAAAGAAAGTGTTTTACTACATGTAATTAAAATTCAGATCATGAAGCTGGTTATTGGATTATATTATTATTACTTATGTACACTGGTTTTAATGAGGGAAGACGTTTTTTTATGGTTATAGAATTGATATAATAACATATTATAAAATCATTTATTTATAGCTTATAAATCTGCGACTTGTAAACCCAATTAACAAATTACTTGCATATTATGTTACATTTTAATCTATTTACTATCATAAAAAATTGTGATTTCGTACTCCAGCAGATTTTCCTTTTTTTATTTTTCTTTAAATATGATTTATACTCTCAAACAATTAATTAATCTCAAAATGTTAAATACTGAAAAACGGTAAGTTTATTTTTAATCTTTATTTAAAAAATATAATTGTTCTCTCTTAAATCAAAATTCCTCTGAGCACAAAAATGACTACTTCACATATTTTTGTTTTTAAGTTTAAACTTTAATTTTAAATTACCTATTTTAATTTAATTTAGGTTTCTTTTTATAATTAAATAATTTTCTTTCACATTTTGGAACAATGTGTTGTGAACTTAGTTATTTTGTACTCTACAAAGGTAAATAATATACTTGTAAATACTTGCAACAAGTACGTTAGCACATTAAACATATTTTTCTGTTAATTAAACAACTTTTTATTATTATTAATACTAGGTACATTTTTACATAAAAATATCTGAATTATGAAGTTTGAACTTAATTAGCTTCTCTTTGACTGCACTTCCCTTTTTCCTTCCAGATTATCACTTTTTATTCATATTTGATCTCTCTGGTCAGTAGCCTGTTCAGGAGGGAGAAGAGTTAGGGGTTATATCCACTATATTCCGGGAATCCGGCACTGACTCGATAGACGAGTAGGTACTTAATGTCATAATTATAACTAGGTTCTTTTTTGGTGTCCAGGTTTTTTAACATTTTGATAGTTACAGGAAAACTTTCAGTTATAATAATCTAAGTAAGGAAAACACTGACATTTTTCACTTTTTGTCTATCTTACAAGAATTCAAAATTTAATTTTAAATTTGGGTGATAAAAATAATATTTCTCAGTTATTTTAGGATCCAGCGCAGTATTTTAAGTGGTTGACTATAGAAACATTATTTTAGTATTTTTAAATAGTAGGTTTTTTAATTTCATTTGGCGTAAATGTATTGGTGAAAACAAATCTTAAATATTAGTTGATAGGCATAAAGATACTTAATAAATAACTAACGTAGTATTTACTTCAGAAAAGCGATTTACAAAAAATGTTTAGAGAAGTTCAATAAAGATAATAAAAAAAAACGAAATGAAATATTTGAAAAAATATTTACTGATAGTTAAACTCTTAAAATTAGAATTAAATTTCTTTAAATCTTTGTAATGAACAGGGCTCATGACTTAAGCACTTAGAATCATTAAAATAAGCGCTTAAAAATATCATTATAAGTACTAAAATAAGCATTTAAAAAATTTAAAATTAAGTAAAAATATTTATTAAAAAAAAAAACTATTAAATTTTAACTAAAAAATCAAACAAAATAAAAATAAAACTTCACTTTCTAGACTATGGATTTTATCGATTTTCTAAGGGATTTTTCTGAAAAATAAAATGTAAACTGTTCTCTCTTATTATCTATTTTGACGTTTAAATTCAGTTAAATTTTAAGTGTTGGAATATCTTTGTTAACCCTACAACGATGTCAAATTACGTGACAACGTAGATAAGAATTAATTTTAATTCTATCAAAAACGACTTTGCAGGAAAGAACTATATAAACATAAAAACTAGAAATAAGTATTTTTTTCAAAAATTGCTGAAAAAAAGCAAAAAAAAAAGATAAGCAAATACTTTAACTCCCGAGCCCTGTTATTATACTTGTTCATTATTTGTATGCAGTTACTAATGAATAATGATTAGTAAATCGAATCGCGCGTGGGACGAATGCGACAGAATCGGATAAAGTTCCATGTCTTATTACTATCGCAACTGCAACAGAGCCTGATTTAAGACCCAGGACAACATGGATAAGCATTTTATTATAATAAATTATAGCTTACGACAATAATAAACACTACCAACACTCGATAATGACTGAGTGCATCTCGCGACACACCTGACTCAAAAAATAATGTTGGTCTAATGATTTATGTGTAAAAAATGAACTGATTTTGATTTCTTTTCATTTGGGTTTATGTAATAAAAACAGAAACTATATATAATTATATATATATATACATATATAATGTATAGGTAAAAATGAAAAAAATATTTAATGAGATGGATGTGATTGATGTTTTGCTAGAAGTTCGTTGATATTAGATTCAATTTTCGTAAGCAGCATTCTAAGTCCTCACGATTAGTTATTTGTAACCGTTGTTTTTTTTTTTAGTGAATAGATTGGTTACTGCACTAAATCTACGTTCAGCCAAATAGAATGATGGAAATTCTGATGATTCAACCATTATGTGAAAAACGTTTAAAATTTAAATAAAATAATACACAATAAATTAACGAAAATTATTATAAAAACAACAACGAATACGTCGTGGCAAATGTGAGTCCGACATCGCAGTTCACGGCGATACATACATGAATAAAATACGCGTGGATAGTTTTAAAAAACTTTTTAGATTTAATATTGGCATTGATACGACTTACTATGAATTTAAGTCTACTTAAAAAAAATGTTATCAAGTGAAAACACTGTAGATACTTAAATACTAATTGTACAAAAATCATAAAAAAAAAAAAAAAGATCAATGGCAAACACATTTATTTACAATGATCGACTTATTTTTGGTGAATTTTACCATTTATACCCTCAATTACGAAGTGACAATGCTTTGTTTCGAACATGTACAAAAATGACATCAGAAACGTTTGATTATATTTTAAAAATAATTACACCGGAATTTGACCTTCAAACAACAAATTTTCAAGAACCTATTTCAATAAAAGAAAGATTGCTTGTTACAATGAGGTAAGTTCTTTACTTATTTATAGGTGAACTTAATTAGAAAAAAAATAATATGTCATACATTAGTATAATAAGCAAATGAAAAATTATTCTTTTATATAAAATAAAATATAACCTTCTTCGGTGTATAATAACTTAACAAATTAATTTTTTAGCAATGAAGTAAAAAATCTAATATAATAATTATCGCTTTATCAGTGTGCGTGTATTCCATAAAATATAGGTAAATGTTGCATTTTTCATAAGACACAATAAAGCGCTATTGGGCGCTTTAAAGCAGTTTTGCTTTACCTGTGTGTGGTCACCTTAAGTTGTACATTGCCGCATAATATTACGCTTCTCTAAATTTTGTGTGTTGAAATCACGGCTCTACAAGGGGGCAATACACCTTTACAAGGCCACTCAATCCCTAGAATTTATCTTCCTAAAATGCAGGACAAACGATCATGTAACGGTAAATCATATTTGAGTCATACATTAATTTTGAACTACCGAAACATTTACTTAAGCATAAATAATATTTGCGGTTTAAAACGAAAAGCGAACGTAATGTATTTTATAATTTTCTTATATCAGCCACTTGCTAAATAGTTCAATAAATGTCGGATTGTTGAAACCATGAAAACGTATATGTTTACTCTGATAGCCTATTGAATTTTATTCGAAGATTTCTATGTTAATTGCACACGTTTTCACGATTTAAAACGGTCGTTTTAAAATCGTTGATCTTTTCGTTCTAATTGACTCAAAACTACTATATTCTACTCCTACGATGGATAGATATGAGCAGGAAAATAGTCGAAGCTCATTGTTGTGCTCTGCACACCGTCGATGCGGCCAGTGTAGTCGCCATCGGTTTCATGACGAAAGCCGACAGTTAGAATCAACCGGACGCCATTTTAGCAGAGAGTACGTTTCGAACGTTTGATAGATTACTACGTTTATTTTCGGTCGAATAATAGCTGCGATAACGATAATAATATTTGTAATCTAGAAACATTTACAGAAACCATGAGGTACGGTCAAGGAGAGTACAATGGATCGCCAGACAGCCCGAATCAGTCAGCGGAGATTCTTCTGTGTCGCATTGCCACAGGCCAAATTCGTCTTGGAGGCGGCGCGCGGTACCAGGAAGAACACTGCTTGTACACGGATTGGGAAACGAAATTAATTGTGATATGGTGTTTAATATGTTCTGTCTTTATGGCAATGTGACGGCCGTGAAGATACTAAGTCATAGACAAGTTCTCGTCGAGCTAAACAACGTCGAGGCTGCCGAACGTTGCGTGTCCAACCTGCACTTGTTGCCGTTGAATCAGAAGAACAAATTAAAAGTCAAGTAAGAGAAGAATTTCCAAAAATTCAGATCTTAACAGTCTCGGTGTTAGGGTATTGAATTTAAAAGTAGATCCTTATTCTTAACGTATAACAATAAAAATGATAATATTATCACACCATAGCATGTCTAATGCAATGTCTAATACTCGTTATTAGCATCAATAATAACACGATCAATTTAGAATTATAAAAAACAACATTGCATTATTTCCATCGGATATTTCAGGTATTCCAAACATGCTTATATAAATGACCAAAAAACGCTGATCAAATTGTCGGACGGAACGCCAACACAAAAAAATTACATTATCAGCAAATTTAACCGATTTTCGAGCAAAAACAAAATTATCAATGAACGTCGAATTGCAGCTCCGTCAAAGGTAAGTTTACACATGTACTCGTATTATAACACTTAAGTTGACGTAGTGATGTATTTCCTGGGAAGGATAGATAGTTGCTTCCCTTAGCTTCGTTTTTTTTATGTTTTAGTCAATGTTTAAAATTTCAAAAACTATTATAAGATTACATTTTTATCTTTCATTGTATCCTGATTGATTTACAACAAATATTACCAAAAATATGTTTATTACGTAAATAGAGTGATATTAGTAAGTAAATATCCCATCATCACTACACGAAGATATCACTGCGTCAGCATATTGATGTACCTAACATGATAAAATAATAAAATCGATTAAAACTCCCCAATAGATTTTGCATTTCTTCAACGTACCAGTGGACATAAGCGGCTCGAAGATTCGCACGGCAGTGATAAATGCCCTCGGATGCAACGACGCGATCCGATCAATAACAATTCGTTAGTCATTCACTGGAGCATTTAGATTTTACGTGGAAGTAAAGTACACGCAGTGATTTTAATGTTTTCTTTTCTTACAGTACCCCAAAAGCAGCCCCGCGCTAAATTTTCAACGGGCCTTTTGGAAATGAAAAGTGTCGACTTGGCGGCTAAAGCTATAATGTTGTTGAATCATATGAAATTAGAATCGTCAAGTATGTTATTACGATCGCACTGTATTATTGTTACGACCTATCATGTATCAATGTTTTTTTCTTTATTATATAACGTGTGTACGTGTCCTAGGATCCGAATTCCCGTTCTGGTTTAAATTATGTTTTTCGAAATGGTCGGATATGCGGCAGAAGTCCGCGGACTCGTCAGTCCTGATTTTCAAAGCCACACCACGCAGAGCGTGGCTGTTTCATAGATCTGAACATGACATGCCCACGGTAGAATTTAAGGTATCACGGATAAACCGAGTAACCAACGACGATTACCCTTGGACGCTATGGGATATGAGGGAACATGCGACGGAGGCCATCAACCCTGAAGCCAGAATCTCCGTGGATATCGAGTATGATGGACCTAGTGGTCAGGGCGATACGTTGCAAGACCCCCCGTTGTATTAGACAGGACCGATAGTTGATGCGTAAACATCCAAAAAATAATTTTTTTAATTCATCTCGATCACGATGCATTTTTGATAAAATAAAGTATAACTATGCATGATATATTTACTTATTTTACATAAAAATTACATGGACGAGATTTTTCTCGCCATTGAATATACCGAACGAATGACGTTTATCCAACACATGTAAAAATATCAGCAATAGATATTAGGTAATATTCTATGCGCAGAAGTGCTTTTTATAATAGGTGGCATATTGAACAAATTGTCTAGTTATGTATGTGTGCAGGCCCGTGCGCAGGATTTCATAATGAAGTGGGTTTTGAAAAAAAAATGTATAAAGTAGATACATCAATAATTAGTATATTGTATTATAATATATTTATATGTATTATTAATTTTGTAAGTACCTATATTAAAAGTGTTTCTTTATCAATACTATAAAATACAAATAATTTTTTTAATAAATTTACTCAACGAGGGGCAGAAAAGATTGATTCAGTGTTTGATTAATGTCCACGTTGTATCACGATGTATATTCAATGAAACGATCTTCACGCATTGTTGATCGTAAGTAAGTTTTCAGCTGACGTAATGTTGAAAATGACCTTTCATTAGTCGTAATCAGTTCAGTAGTCACAGGTAAAACTGACATCACACGCAAGGCCCCCGCAAGGGGGGGACTAATGGACCTTGAATACAGGGGCCCGGCTATTTTAAGGGCCCGTGGGTCGGTTAAAATGTATTTGTAATTTTTGAAATTTTAATAGAAATACTTATTTTACATTAAATAATAATTATAAAATAACATTATATATATATATATATTATATTATATATATTTATATATATATATATATATATATATTTAGTTATTTTGTTAATTCAAAATGTAGATTAACCAATAATTACCTAGAAATTAATGGATTGGCTTTGACAATCAATTTTGACGATATCATTATTGAGTTCGCTGTGTTCAAAGCCCGCAAAATAAAATGTTAACTTAAAAAAAAAAATATATTAAATATAAATTAAGATATACCTATATTTTTCTTTTTTAATTTAAATAATATTGTAATAAAAAAATAAAATATACATTATTAATATTGAAATGCTTATGAATCTTGAATTTAAATTGGTATAATGAAAAAACAAGTATTATTCCTAAAATTTTTTTATATATATAGTAAATTGTATTTTTGTGAGTTTTATAAAGTTCCCAAACAATCATTCATTATAGGGGCCCGAAATTGTATATGGAGCATAGGCGTGTTTACGGTTATGGCTACTTTGGCAATGGCCAGACCTACAAAATTCAGCTCCGTTTTAAATTTATGCTTAAATCATTAAAAATAATTATTAAAAAGTAAAAAGAATGATTAAACAAAACAGAACTAAATAATAAATATTTTCTCATAAAAAATTATATATGTATGATATGTTTGTGACAAAAACTAACCAATAATATTTATTATTTAATATCTATAGCTATAAGTACCCGTATAGTATTAGTTGTATTTTATGTTATATACTTTTTATTTTTTTGAAGAAAGTGAGTATATTATTTACTAACTATAGTTACTGTAGTAGCTACAATTACTACGTACGTTCTCGAGGTAGTGTATTGTGTATAAGTCACTCTTTGTCTTCGTATCCTAAATGAAAATTTCAATTTTCCTAATGAAAAATGTTATTGGCCATATTAGCACGAAATTTTCAGACACGCCTATGAGTGGGGGCCCTGATCACACGTAACATTTTATGAATGTTTGGAAACTCATCTGAATTACAAATATCGAAAGCACCAAGGGCGTTTCGAATATTTTTACCAGCTAGTAGTTTTCGCCAAATGTCTACTTCATTTATCCAAATTTCTGGGGAATGGTCGTGTAAAATTTAACTATAGATTTTAAACCACTTTTTACAAGAAACTTTGTCTAAAGATTTAGTTTTAATAGGAAAAAGATATGAGCAATTGGACAAAATATTTCGATGTTTGAGGAAGCGATCTTGAAGTTGAGTGATAAATAAATCATGATATGGTATGTAAATAATAATTTAATAATTATCTGCTACGGTATTTGTTATAATGTTGTAACTATTTTCCTGTAAATAAAATGTAAATATATTTTTGTACATACACGACCTAAATATACTTACTATCTCATCATTTTCTAGCCGTGGTTTTTTGAAAAATTTTCGAATTTCTATTTTGATGTTATTTCTAACGACATGTTTGTATAACCATTGATTATTTTATTGAATAAATTTAAAACTGAATACTGCTTTTGGATTGAACGAAAATGCAGATAATGCCTAAAAATGGATATGTGATGAGCTGTGTGCGATAATTGTGGAAACGGAATAATCATATAACATAAGTACAGAAATTATTGATAGTAACATTCAAGAAAAATCAAATTCTTTATGGCAACATTTTGATAGTAAGGTAGCACGGTAGATCAAGTTAAAACAATTGTTACATCTAGTGTGACTATCCCACTTATATTAAGTCAATATATAGATATTCCACACTTCGTAAGAAATAAAAATCCATAGCAATTTTGACAGCAATATAAAAAAACCCTTCCCAGAATGATTTAAATTAAGTTTAACATTTTATGTATCCTAGCTACTTCAGTTCGGTCAGAAAGCATACTGAACACAGTTCCATTGTTAGCGAGCAGGCAACTTAGACAATTGCCTTAAAAAAAAAAATTGTTATTCTAGACTCCTTAATATACTCCCCTCCACGGAAATCTTTAGTAAAAGGCGAAAGATTTATTCGTATTGAAAGGAAATCGGAGTAAATTTTTAATAGACTTCTAAATTGCTTCTCCCCACGGAAATCTTTAATAAAAGGCGAAAGATTTATTCGACTTAAAAGGGAGCCGGAGTAACTTAGGCAATTGCCTAAGGCCTCGTACTTCAAATAAATTCGGGAGCCCACAATTTATTAGAATAGTTAAATATATATAGATGTAGGGAAATTGTACTGATTTTGCTTAAGGCCTCGCAAAAGCTTACGACGGCACTGTCAGAACAAATAACTAATGATCCTAGAAATGACTCCGAAAAATTTGGACTTCATAATATTTTTAAACAGTAATTTAAACATTTTTTAACTTTTCTTTTAACTTTTTTATGGTTTTCTATTTACAAAATATTGAGTTATAATTTAATAAGGATCGACATTTATTTTTATGCAGTTGATGATAAACTAAAATATTCACAAAAAATACGACATACTTAATTTTATGGTTCTTATAGTTCATAATTATAATATATTATGGTTAATGTATTTATAATAAGTAATACAACGTACCTATTGGTTTAATTGTTATTGAAACGAACGAGCTATTTCATAATATAGTTTTACTCTACTATTAAGTACTTACTAGAATTTTAAATTTTTATTTAATAATCATTAAATAGTTATTATAATAAGTACTAACCGACAGAATTTTTTCGAGTGAACCTCTTTAATGTTAAATCTTCTTGATTACTCACTTCTCGATTATCGATATCACTCGATAGTTCCCATCATTAGTAAATATGCCCCTGCGTATTATTGAGCATAGGCTGGTGATTTTCCAGTTCAATATTAGTTGCATATAAGTTAAAGGTGTTGTCAGTTATCATCATAGTTGATTATCATAGAGTAATTATGTTATGTATCAAAATTAAAGATATCAGCTGATTATCTGATAAGCTAAGGCCATTTGATAACATTTGCCAGCTCTCCAAAACTCCGCACTTCCTACAGGCAATCACTAGCTACCAGTTTTTTTTTGACTGTATAAAAATATATTATATAAGATTTTAAATTTGTCAGTGCATGTATATTAATATGTTGTACATTCGTAATTTATCTTTAATTGTTAATACTTAAACATGTAAAAACAGTCAGTTAATAGTAGTTTTTTTGTTAATTAGTTCTAGTGATTATTTTATTCTGTGAAACTACTAAAATGGCTTCAGTTCTTAAAAAACAGATTTTAAAACAACTTGCGAGGTAAATAAAATAATTTTTATAGAATATTATTTTCAGTATTGTACTATTAAACATTTTATGGAAATTTAGGTTTACTAAAGGTTTGAGAGAAGAAGACATAAATTTAAGTACATTTAAAGGTGAAGGTGAATTAACATCTTTGGAACTTGATGAAAATGCTTTAATGGATGTACTGGATGTACCATATTGGGTACGAATAACCAGCGCTAAATGTGATAGAGTTTTCTTTCAGGTTCCATTTATGGCTATCAAGAAAGTTCCTATGTCTTTGGTAAATAATTTATTGTATCTATAATTTTATAAAATTAATTTTTTTTTAATATTATTATAGTAGTAAAAAGTTTAACCTTAAATGTATTATTATTATTATTATAATTATATAATACTAATTTGAAATTAATAATAACAAATTATAAAATAGTTCATTACTAATCATTTAGTATTTTAATCTGTGATGTAACTAAGGGGGGTGAGTTGAGGGTTGACATATGTAGTTAACTAACTTTATCCTCATTCTCCCCACTAAACACCTTCCAAAATTAAATTTTTTCAAATGTACAACCCTCCCACCAAAATTAAATAATGTTTGTGTCACTAATTTTCATAAAAGTAAATAAAAGTATTATACAATCAATTTATGCTTGTTTTTAAAAGAAAACATTTGACCTAGACACTTCATAATTAATTATTATATACATATTTATTAGTAATTTACAACCAATATAATTATTGTTTTTAGTATAGAAAATTGAATACAAGTCAGATAAATCACTATATAGTTAATATTACTATCATATTTTATTAGTTAATAATACATTTTAATGTTTTACTGTGTAGTTGTATCTGAAAACTTTTTTTAAAAATATTTTTTAAATAAGATTAAGGTTTCAAGCTTTAAATTTTTAAATTTACTTCAAAATTAATGTAATTTGATTATTTAATTGTTAGTTTATTTATGCAATGATTAGTTTAAACAAATACATTTTATTATTATATATTAATATTTAAGTATTAAATATATTATTTTTATAGACTTTAGATAGAGTATCAGTTGAAATTGAGTCTTGTGATAATGTAGAATCAATGGCATTGCGAGAAAATGTACAAACTGCTGTACAGCCTGGAAAATATAAATTCATTAATCAAGTAATTGATGGTATGACAATACAAATTAATGAAGTTAACATTACTTTTAGAGATCCTGCTTTTCACGCTTCTGTGCAGGTAATATTATTATATGTTAATAATTATTTTGTTTAACTCTCATAAGTATTATTGTCATTATATACATAGTTAGGTATGTTATCTTATCAATAATGTATTTATTAATTTTAGTTGCCTTCTTTGGTAATAATTATTTAAAAATATTCTTGTGTTACAAATTATTGCCTAATAGTTTATTAAAATAACTAATAATTTATTGTGTACTATCGTGTTCTTTTTAAAATATACATGTAATAAATAATAATATGCATTATTTTAATTATAATTTCAATAGCATTATATATATTTTTTTAATTTAAAAAATAAAATTTTAATAATGATAAATTTAATCATAATTTGTATAAATTAAAATACAGTGAGAAAATTGATTGGAAATTAATAATCAGATAGTAATGAGAAGACTATTCAGTAATAGGAGTAATAGGGCCTATTTTTGAGGAACAGGGTTTAGCATATCTTTTAACCTACATCTTTTGAGACAACTATGGGACTTGTAAACATTTTGATTGAGTATTAGTATGAAATTGGTGGATTTGAATAATGGAATTATTTATAATAATAATTGCAATAGAAGTTTGGATCTTAAAATCAGTTGTAATAAGTGCAATCTAACATTTGAGTGAATTTAATTGATTTGATTACACAAGAATTGTAGTATATAGGCAACAAGGTTTTAAAGAAAACTTAAGTTTAATTAGAAGTGTTGAGGAGATGTATCAGGAGATTAGTTGTATAGGGATGTAGCATATTATAGAAAAATAACTAAAATTAAGTTGGAAAATAAAAATGTAGTATAATACTATAGTATTTACCTTCACTGTATGACATCTTAAAAAACAAATAATTTTTATAATTATTGAGATTAAATTTTATAATTTGATTAATTAATTTTGCACTTTTGGTTCAAAGATTTTATCATAGAAAATATATTAATTTTCTTGTAAAAAACAATGATAGTACACAAAGTATAATTTATTTTTTATATTTTAGATTTTAAAAATATTAGTTCAGTCCAAGTCTCCAAATTGGGAGTCTACTAATCTCAAGACAACTAGAGTAAAAAATGAACAGAAAACACAAATACTGATATTCAAAGAATTGACTTGGCAGATGATACGAATTGAATTATATTCTACAAATGATCATAATAAACCTCCTATTAAGTTGTTTACAAATGATATAATTTGTCGATTAACTATAAAAAAGAGACTTTCAGGTAGTGTTATACATATACATATATATATATATATTAATTTAAATTAAATACTTATTAAAAATGATTATGTTATAGATTGTTTTATTTTGGGGTGTAAGTTAGCAATTCTCATTGAAGAATTATTGTGCGTTTTTACTGATTCTCAAATGAAAGCTGCACTTCATTATATAGATTCATTAGCTGGCGTTGTTAAAAAATCAACTGATCTTTCGCGAAAAAAAAAAGCTATTAGAAAGCTAGAAGTAAATAATAAATATTTTGAATGATAATATTTTAAGTAATGTGTTTAATATTTGCATATTTTTTTTTAGTGTTTACCTGAATATCAAGCTCAATTAGATCAGGAAAAAAGAGGAAAGTTTGTTTCAAGTTCAAAAAGTTCATGTCTGTTTAGTTTTCATGACGTAGTAGAAACATCTTACCACTTTGTTGCACAGAAAATTAATCTTCATCTTAGTGATGATCCTGGAAGTGAGATACACTTTGTAAAATTGTATTTAGTTATGTTTTAATAAACATTTTTGAATCATTTAGGTCGTTCACTGCACCCAGATTTACTAAAAGGAGGATCTATACAAATTGAAGTGACAGATTTTCAAATTGATCTTTATCCTTATCATTTGGCTGATAGTGATAGATTACATTGGGGTCTTTACAAAAAAGCTAGTTCATCTTTTTTTCAATGGCTAAAGGATTCTCAAAGTCAATTTTGGGAAAATCTATATACAATAGTTAGAGAAAATTTTCAAGTACCTGAAACTGAAAGAGGAAATATTACTAAATATCTGAAAGCTCAATATTCAAAGTTAATGACGAGTTGTACAGTTTTAAGAATGTCTGATTTTACTGTATTTAGGGTACAATCTGGGAAAAAACAAGAACAAATTGCTTTTATTAAAGGTATTTTGATATAATAACTAACAATATTTAAGATATGAAAAAATCAATTCTAAATCATTTTTTTCGGATTATATTATGTATGTTATTTTTATTATTATTATTACTATTATTATAACTAGTATTGTATTATAGGAGATAAAGAACGTCATAAATTGCCTCATGATTCCAAAGTTATACATGCAGAATTTACATACTATTACTATCCTGGAGATGCTGCATTTCCACGTAAATAATTTTTGAATATTAAATAATTATTGAATAAAACCCATTAACATTTTTTTCAGTACCTCCATCAAAATTTTATGCACAGTTAAATCCAGTCCAACTGAACTTTGATGCTCTTACAGTGTTATGGTTGAATACATTTGCATTGAATGTTTATAAATCACTGATGACTACTAATGTGGCAAATCAAGATAATTTAGGCAGTATGATATACTTTGATATTCTTATTGAAGCAATTATGCCTCGCGTAAGTTATTATTTATTAGTTAAGGGACAGTTTATATTTTTCATTATAATTTTGTATATTTATTTAATTTAACATAGTTCTTTTAATTTTATGTGTGTAAAATCAAAACTCTTTAATATTCAACAAGTTGGTGTTTTTAAACTAAATTTGGTTTATAGTCAAACACTTATGTAAGCTAATGAGTTTGGTCCCAATGTGTCTACATTAAACGAAATCCACTATATATATATTGTGAACCTCTGGGTTAGTCCCATAGTCACTAGAAATATTCCGCCAAAACAGTTATTTTGTACTATGAAGTTTATGAAATAATTAATTACAATAAACTTGTCAATACTACTTATTATATTTTTAATATTAATGAGAATGACACTGTTTTAACTAAGATTGAAAACACAACTGACTATCCATTACTTAAGTCAGTCGTTCATTGGCTATCTCTTAATACGTGGTTAGTATTCAAAATGAACAGGCTTTCATAACAACATATATATTGATTTAGCAGTCATACTATTTTCATTTTGATGAATGTCTGCTATAATGTTTACATTAAATTTAAAATATAGTTATTTAATATTTGTGTTCTGTATGTACTTATTTTTCTACAGTTTGTATTTGAAGAAGTCACACTATGTAATAATCAAAAGGATCGCCCTAAATCATTAAACTTACAAACGAGTCGAGCTACTTTGAGTAATATTCGTAGTAATGAACACGGCATGTCAAGATTTGACTTGGCTAACTGCGTTAATGGTTTGCAGTATGCATCTCTTTTTTATTCTTCTGAATATCCAGCCAAAGATGAAGATTACCACCCTGTCACAGAAAAATTATTAAATCATGCTCAAGGTAAAAATAATAATTAAAGTTATGGACTATTAAACTACTAATTTAATATTGCTAAGGTAGTTATTTAATTTTATATATCTTCTTTTTTTTCTTCAGTAAATCGTCCCCTAGAACTATCCCAACATACAACCTTGCTCAGTGGCATAGCCAAGGGGTGGCTGTAGCTTCCCTTATTGGTCGTGTTTATGTGTATGTACTAAACTAGTATACTACTATTTGGTATTTAAATATTCTAAATTTTAGAATATTTATATTTAGAATGTAAAATGTTGGTATTAACTAAATGTTGATGATTGACGGATGTTTGTCATTGGTAAATACATAAGCGTATTATTTCTACTGTGATTACTACTAAATTTTTGGTAGTTATCATGAATGTTGTGATGACTCTTTTCTGACTCTTATATTTTATAATCAATATAGTTTTTATACCATGTTATGTCGTGACAATGCTATTGCAGCTGATCACCATTATTTTATTATTATTATTATTATTAATTATATTTTAATAAATATTATTAAAACTATTTTTAAATTTAGTAGTCAGGAAGAGGTTATGGGTGAACTCTCAAAGTTTTTCTACCAAAACTACCCAAAAAAGTTTTCAACCCCTCCCATTTAAAAATCCTGACTATGCCATTGACCTTGCCTCCAGTTTTCACAAATTAATTTAATTAACTTTATATATATTGTACTTAAACTAAAAAGGAACTTCTGCAGTAACCAAATTTTATTAACAACAGATAGATCCTTTCAATATAATTTCTTTCCATTATGGACAAATATATTACTTTGGCATAAAAGCTACCCCCTGGGGTCTTTTTTATTGTGAATTAAAGATGTTGAGTTTTAGTTTTAAATTATTTTTACTACTGTAGCTACTGTATGAGATTTCAAAATAAAGTCATTAATACTAAAGATTACAAAAACTTATTTTAAGAAAAAATTAAAAATTTTATATGAATTATTAAGGAAAAATTATATTATTTTTATTGCCAACTTTTTATTTAATAACAAATTTTCAAGTATATTTAATGTAATTATATAGGATATTTGTCACATATTAGTGAAATAAGCTTAAGAATCCAAATTTTAAATATTTATATAGAGTGATGGTCAAAAAATTTATTTCCAAATCATGTATACATAAGGGTAAAATACATTACTCATTTTCAATATTGTGTACACACATTAACAAAGCAACCACCTTCACTCGTTCTGAGAGAACACTGTGCAAATTAAACTAAATTAATAACAACCCATAATTTGCTATGAAATACCACCTCAGATATAATAAGATAGGTTCATACCATATAAAGTAATTATGATGACAAATTATTGATTTTACCGAAATGTTAAACATTAAAAAACTCATGTTTAAAAAAAATATATATATACTCAATAATTCTGAAACATTTTGAAGTTTATTGATCAAAACTTTTAAAAGAAGTTTGACCCATATTTTATGAAAGTACCACCTTATTATACATGTATAAATATCCAAATTGAAAAAAAAAAATGCTAAAAGAACTTGGGTATTAAACTGCATTTATTTAAAATTATCATTAATAATACTGAAATATTCAGTATACAATTTAGGTTTATTTAAATTTTTTTAAATGTATTATCAATACTTCACTTCTCTCAACATTTATGTTTGAAATTAGTAGTGAAATCAGGATTTAATTAGAGGCGTAGAGGCCATAGTCCAAAATCTAGGGATAATTTTGGGGAGTTAATTCCTTATTCACAATAAAGATACTTGTGCAATTTAAACTTTGGCTATAGTTTTTGTGTTGTTTTTAAAAATTGTTGAGTTGTATATCATATGAATCAATGTAATCTCCTTACTCAAATTCACTTAATCGGTTATACTTAATTATTTATCAATATTTACTATTGTAAAATTTAACTAAGGCCAGTTGGGTAGGGGGGCAAGGCTCATTTCCCCTCCTTAAATTTGCTATTGTTTGAAATAATAAAATAATAAAATAAAATAATAATTAGTAAATTGTTATTATTTGTAGAAGAAAATATAAATTAATAGTTTGTGTATAAAATTAATTAAATGAATCCTTATTCTGGAGTATTATTATTTTAGTAATGTACGACAGGTTTTGAATTGAAAATTCATCATCAGATATATACATGGTCAATAAAATTGCGACTGTTTATATTTTATTGACATTTTATATACATGGTGATAAAATTTTAATTTCAAATCGGTCATACAGTACAAACACAATAATAATTCAGACTAAGCAGTAATTTATTTATTTATTTCTAAATATAAACTATTATATATATATATAATTATGATAACTATATATTTATGTTTGATTTAAAATGTGTGTGTCTATAGTTTATTTAAACAATTTTAAAATTAAATTCTATATGTATATTGCTTTAGGTAATGATAATGTACGACCATACCCCAATAATATTATAGTTTCGACATTAGAAGAATTCATGAAGGAGCTGAATCAAGAACTGTTATGGATTGAAGCTAGAGATATTTGGTATATTAATAGTTTTTAATTATTTAAACACTATACTTTTTTATAATTATAGATTTGACTTTTTTATAATAACTGTATTAGGTTATTGTTATATTTAATTAATTACCAATTTTACCATTTTTGCCTTATATTTTATTTAAATATGAATATATAATAAATATGAATTGTGATAGTTTTAAAATTATTTTTAATTTTATTTATTTTTAATTATTTATTATTTTAATTAATATTAATGTTTTTTTTTTTATTATTTATTTTATCTATATTAGGTGTATACGATTGGATCCTGTTTGGGGTGATTTTTATGGTGCCAGAGCTGCTGGATCTGCACCAGTACCCTTTCTTGAAGCTTTTCCATTAACCCTATGGGTTCAAACGCCTACACTTACTCCAAAATCTGAAGCATTCAATAGGAATCTTAAATATGGTGATATGACGGTGTTATGTCATGTTCCAAATTTAATAAGCATACAAATCAATCATTTTCAATATCTTTTTCTTTTGCGTGTGGCTGATGCAGTTGATGAAGTTAGCATTTTATTATTCATATTTAAGCATTGATTAATTTGAAAATTATTTTAAATATTCAGTTGGCTACATATGTTGTTGCTGATCAACATAGCATACTAGGAAATAAGCAAAGTGGATCATTTGTATTTGCTGGACTATTTGCTCAAATAGAAGTAACATTTGTCACTAGTGCTCAGTTAGATATATTAAGCAAAACTGGAGGTGTTGATGATGTGAGCTCAAGTGTTGTAGCAGATTCGTCTAGCATAGCAACTCAAAGTGGACATAGTGTACAATCAAGTAATATTGTACAAACAACATATGAGGTATTTAAAGACAACTTATTTTATATTTAAATACATATATATATATATATTTTTTTTTTACTTTGTTTTTTCCTTTAAGGATGTTGGATATGTTTATGATATGAGCCAAGCATTCAGAATACCGATGGCTATATCAGCAGCCAGTTCTAAAAGAAAAGAATATATATCACAAAAATCTGTATCTGTTGTATATGACAATGTCAAAGAAATGTCTCAAATTAAAATGGCTGAATCAGTTACTACTGATATTACCTTACCATCTTTCAAAGGGATGAAAAAACGTTGGTTTAATTTTGGAGCATCAGTTGATCTTACTGGAAAACAAAATATGGATGATTTTAATGATAATGTATCAGTCAGGTAGAAAACAGTAAATTAACAATAATATATATATAAAATAAAAATATATATCTATAGAAATTGAAACTTCTGTTTATGGTCATCTCTAAGTAACAGTAGTTTTTCTTGATCCCATCAAGTATTGTCTACCTCTATAGGACAGCCACCTCTAAATAGCGGTCATTATTTATGGTCCCTTTGATGACTTTTAATTGGAAGTTTCACTGTATATCTATTTATAAATTATGATTATTTAATTAAGATTATAATAAATTTTAGGTCTGATATGAGTTCAGATAGTGAAAGTTTAATGGATCTGAGTTTGGATACAAATGATGGTGCTGATGTAATATTTAAGTTTCCTTCAGCTCATAGACCAAAAGGAGGATTTACTAAAAATATTGAAATTGCTTCTGAAGCATTTGATGATATTTTTGGTGGAGGAGAATTAACACCACCAACTACTTCTAGCGAACGAGATTCAATTGGAAGTTCTATTAAAAGAAAAGATCTAGTAATTACTTTATTTTATTTCATTCATTAGTATTTAATTTTTGATTTAATACAAATATTAAATAATAATTTAATAGGATCAAAAGATTACAATTTATTTGTTTTTTAAGTAATAATTTTCAACATTTTAATTTCAGGTTGCTATCACTACACTGAAATTTGGGCGGGTTGAAATTTTACATCAATCACAAGGTCTAAATTCTGTTGTTAAATTACAAGTTACAAATGTTAGTACTGAGGAATGTCCATATATTCCTTGGGATGAATTTCAGGTATCTTATTTAATTACTTGTATGCAATGTTTTATTTTTATTATTCTTTTTTTATACCTTAACATTTTTTTCTTCAAAATTGCTGCATGTTGTTATTAATCAGGTTAAAAGAGTATATTACTTTTTTAAATCTAGTAAGTAATTAAGTATTTTTATTTATATTAATGAAATCTATCTTATGAAAATATGATAAAATAAATACATAAAATTATATAAACAGATTTATTGTGAGTATTAATAAAATAAAACCATTTAATATTAAAATAAATATAAATGTTACAAAAATATTTCTTACACAAATTATAGATGAAAATTAGCAGAGGAGGCCAACAGGTCAATCACAACTCTTTAATTTTTTCAGAAAAAAATTTAAATATTTATTTTTTTTTGTACATTTTTGTTCAGCCCATGAATATAAAAATTAGATTAATAACTATTAATTAAGACAATATACAGTAATATTAATAATAGTAATAAATAACTATAAAAAATAAAACTACACTTAAGTTGAGCAGTTATGTAGGTGTATATGTACGTAATCTAATGGATATTACGTATTAAATAATGGTATTTATGGCATTCGTATAAATCAGCGGTTCTCAATCTTTTTAGGACTGCGACCCAAATTTTTTTCCAAAAATCTATCGTGACCCCATAGTTTTACATTTACAGAATCAATACAAATAATTTCTAAAAACAAATTTATTCTATTTTATTTCTTATTTACTACTTTATAATAATAATAATTATATAATACTTAATTAATAATTAGGCGTATGTGATGAATGTGCTTGTTTCTTACTATCTGTATAATTAAAAAAAACTTCTCGCGGCCCCCAAAAAATTAACTCGTGACCCCCTAGGGGGTCGCGACCCATAGTTTGAGAAACGCTGGTATAAATTGATGAAAAATATACTAAAATATGCGTTATGTAAAATTATAAAATTAAATATATTATTACTTATTAATATTCTAAATAGAAGGAATAAAATAAGTGTAACATGCAATATCCATATATATATATAAAATATGTTTTTTCTTAGTGACAACCTTTTCTTTTTTTTTTTGCCGTCGATTATGACAACCTAGAAAAACTAAAAAATCGATTTAAAGTTGGCCACCTCTGAATTATAAGAAATGAGTAGTAACTGGGGTATTTAAAAGCAATGATAAGTCATCTTATTTAGAAATCAATTTTGTAAAAATGTTTATTATAACAATAATAGTAAAAAGAGTATACTAATAATATCAACATAGTGAAAATAATTACATATTTAAGTTACCTACTTTCCAAATTAAATTAAGAGTTTATTACAGATTTATTCTACTCAAAAGTATTATCATTGATTATAAATAGTAAATTTGTATTATTTATACTACTTATAATCAATATTATTACATAAAATAATGTAAATAATGTGTATAATAAAACCATCTTGCTGTTCAGTTGTTTTTTATATTATTCAAGAAATTGAATAAATCAGTTTAAAATTATTGACAAATTTATAATAAATATAAGTAAATCAATCAAGCATACTGATTACTGAGCCTATTTAGACTACTTATAATAAACATGGATTTTAAATTATTTTTTAAAAGAGGGTTAATATTTTTGTATTAACTATACTTGCATGATCATTATTGAGTTTAATGTTCACTTTGTTTTAATTTTATAATTTTCTCTTGGAATGCAATGGGTGCGCTTACACAAATAATTTGCTGATCATTTCCCAGCATAAGAAGGTACTCATAATAACTAATATCTGGATAAATTTGTTTTTTCGATCTTAGAACATTTTTCATTTTATAGCAGGTTTTAAATTGGATTAATTTTTTTTATAAGATCGAAGAAATAAATCTGTATAATAACACACATAATTAATTTAGTTTGAAATCATTGGTATATTAGATTTACAGGCGCAACTAAAGCTCTAAATTTGTCGGTATTGAAGTTATAACTTCCAATTAATAATAAATTATTAACACTTAATTTATTTATAATTTACAAAATCATTCTTAATAATTTCAAAAATCAATTTAAATTAAGATTATTGTGATTTGATATTATTATATTTTTTCTTAGTAATATTTTCTGAGAACTTATTATAAATAATAACTTGATGTGGGATGGAGTACTTACAATTTGTGGACATTATATATTTGATTGTTTTCCAATCTTTCAGTGCCCTAGTTGCGTCTAAAATTAGTCTAACTATTTAAATTTACAATTCTATACATATATATAAATATAAATGTATATATTTTATTGAATAGGATAAATTTACTACCAGAACACGGGATTGGAACGAACTTGAAGGTGTTGCAGGTTTTCCACAGATACCAAGGATAATGGTTCGATTGGAACACAACATTATGCCTAAACAAAATGAAAAGCTAGTCCATGTAGACGAATGGAAAAATGATAAACTTACTGCAAAAATTAATAATATATCTTTATCATTGAATTCTAACTCATTGACTAGTTTAGCTGACTTTTTTGTTGATGAAAAACCATCAAAATCACTACCATTTGAGGTTTGAATTAAACATTTATAATAAATTTTTCAAAATTTAACCAGAAAATGATTTGTTCATATAGGCAACTATTGAAAACACAATGATAAAACTATGTAATCCATCACAAAGTGATATCTTGCGAGATAACACATGTATAAAGCCAACAGATACTGAAATTCATCTTAGTAGATTACAAGTTAAACGAACTAATGATGGTCTAGTTTTTGTGGAACCTATAGCAGAAAACTGTGATAGTAAACAGTTAGTAGAAATGACAGAAGAATTTAAAAAGGTTTCTATTGAAAATGAATATCTACACAGAAAATTGGGTACTCTTGAACGATTGAAAGAAGAAAATTTGGAATTACGAAGATTTCAAGAAGAAAATAAAACTCTGAAGTAAATATTTTTTAATTGTTTTGTATTTTAATATATTATCTAATAAAATATTATTTTTAGACTGTTGTTAAATGAAGCCCAAGATAATATAAGTAAATTATTAGGAGAAAAACAAAACCTGTTGGACCAGGTACGTGTTTTGAAGGAATCTAAGTCTAATATGATAGTAACTACAAAAAGATAGCGCACGTGTTGGTGCTTTACTTGCACGAATGATAGGTCACCAGTATGACTATTATAAAACAAGGTTTATAAATTGTTAATTCGTGTTGTTGTTAATTTTATTATTGTTGTATAGAATAAGTATAAGTATAGGCTTGAAAACATGGATGCATTATCTAATTATATATATATATATATATATATATAATTTTTAGTGATCTCAACTTTAATTTATAAAAGTTAAAAACTCTTTCAAGACCTGATAATTGTTATAAAGCAAATTAATTGAAAATAATTTTATAATTTTTTATATTTGTTATTAATCAACAAATAATTTTTTTCTATCTGTTAAAAATAATAATGAGTTATAATATTACATTTATTTTTAAACATTTATAGATTTACGTAAAGGAGGAATCAAATTTAGTTTTGTTTTTACTTTTAAATTAATATCTCATGAAATCTATGTACTTATTTTGGAACACCAGTAATATGTCTAATATTAAAGCTTATTTTTAAAATAGTAATTACTTCTTTGAATCTAGACAAATAAATATTAGATTTTTTATTATATGTATAAATAATGATGCTGTTCTAATGTAACTATGTTTTCAATCTTATAATATAAAGACTTCTAGTTATTATGCATTACATAGTAGGTTAAATAAAACTAATAATTTGTATATTAGTTAAATCTAGCACAAATGAAGTGCTTAAGTTGAATTCTTGTATTTTCTGTGATTTTGATGATAAATATTGTTTTACATAAGTATATAGATTTATGTGTTAAAATATGAGGTTGACTATCATCAATTTTTGTTAAATAGTTTTATTTGGCTGATTTTATAAATTATTTTATTTTTTACATAAATAACCTGAATCATATGTATAATAATGCAATAAAGTTTTGGGGTTTTACTTAATTTCAAACTTTTAATTTTATTTTTATTTTTAACCATAAAAATCAACAATTTTTGGATCATGTAAATAATACTTAAGATACATTTATTGAATATGTTTTATTATAAGACTGGTTTTCTCATTACATAGTTAAAAAAATATGTTTAAGTATATAAACAACCAGTATGTAACATATAAAAGTAATCGAAATAATCACTATTAAATTATAATTTAGAGTTCAATATTAAAATGTAAAACTATATTCGTTAATTTATCATTATAACTTTCTTTAACTTAATCAAATAAATTAAAATTAGTTAACTGTCTCAAAAATATGCAATGTGTTCATTAATACAGATATAATTACTTTAACTTGAGTCTTACTAGATTTTCCCTTTATTTGTATAAACATATGTTATTTGGCATAAATAATTTATAGTCCACTAAATTATAAAAACTACTGGTATAATTTTCTGATCCGCCAAAAGATAAAAAATATTTAAAATATTTAAATTGTAATTTGTGTTAATTAATTGTTAATTTTTATTTTTATATTATTACAAGGTATCTGATTATTTTTTAAGTTGAGATTACTGAAATTCCATATTTATATTATTTGTTACTTAAAAAATAGTTTTTGTGGTATACCGTGGAAGTTGGTGCTGTAATTTCTTTATTGTTTTTAATTTAATATATACTTTTTTTTTTCATTATTGACTAGTCTGTCAACTTTGAAATTTATTAATTGTATTATTTTTTTGTCCAGCTTATTTAAAATTAACTCAGTATACTTCTTAAATTATTTAACTGTTCAAAATATTGGTATAAATATATGAATATAACGTTTTTATTATACAATTTATTTATAACAATATATTATTATAATAATTCATTAAAAAATCTCTTACTTTGCTTATATTTACTTACTAAATTTTAATAAATTCTAAATTAAATTTAAATTTATTTAAATAGCTTACTATTTATTGCTGATGAATTTTTTGAATTTTTTAAGGCCTTAAAAAATTTGTTTTATACTTCTGGTTATTAAAAAAAAGTAAATTTAAAATAATTTCAATACTTATATCAATATTTTGTATGAATTATGATTTTTTTATAATTTAATTAGTTTAAGAAGGCCTTAAAAATTAAGAATATTTGTGCGAACGAACTTCAAAATACAATTTATATTAGATGGTAATATATTTTGAAAGCTTTTAAAAATATATTTATACATTATTGCATATTTACCAATTAAATATCTACATATTAATTACTAAGACAAAATATAATTTAATATACAGCGGGCTTGTATAAGCTTACCTATTTCATATAAATTTTCTTTTGATATAACATATCTTAAATACTAATGTTTAGATTACAAATTAACTTATTCAATAGTCTAATTAATAGGGTTTCTTTTCTGTTGAATACTAAATTTAAAAAATAAAAGTGCAATGTATACCGATTTTATGTGTTATTCTAACCAGAATAAAATAATAATAATATATTAGTTGTTTGTTAAGTTTAAATTTTTTTAATTCTTACCATAAATATCACCATTTCTTATACGCTCTGTTATTTCTGTTATTTGCCTTTAAATTTTTTTTTTTATATATTCTACTTTATTAAAAATGTATATATTTTATTTCAATATAATTCAATGTTCTGACTATTCTTACAAACATAATTTTTAAATATTGTTATCAAGCCTATTTATAATTATAAATTTTGTTATATTATCTTTGTTTAAAAAAAAAAAAAAAAAACAATTATTTGTACTTTTATCTGTTGTGAATTATATTCAATACAATTTTATTGTTCATTTTATAGATATTTAGTGAAATTAACATAGCCAATTTTTTAATTTGCTGATATAATCAAACATCCTTAGCCTTTCTTGCTTTGAGTATATTGACTACAAATTATTTTACATATTCGTCTAATAATGCAAGACAATTCGGAGCTGTCTTTACTTTAGATTTTTTAGTTACAATATATTTTCTACTACTATTGACCGATTGCCTGTGATCGGGATTAGTGTCAGACTTGATGTAAGCCCACCAGTAAAAGTGTATCGTGTGCGTTGTGGTATGGTCAGGGCCGTTGTCGAACTTGTGCTGACCGATCTGCAATAATTGAATAGTTTGTAAACAGTGGCATTCGTATTTTAATTTAAAGTTATTAATCATAATAATCTTGAAATTTGGTGGTAATTTTATAGTTTATTATTGCAAATCGAACTGATTAGCAATGGTGCTAAGCAATTGCGTAGGTAAATATTATTTATGGGGGTTTGATATATATATATATTTATGGTAATAATTGATTTTATTATTACCTATTTATTTATGGAATTTTGGCCATGGGGCGACGGGTTGAACCCTAAAACCCCCTTTACCTAAGTCACGTCCCATCCTTGTCGTTGGTATCGTAGAGATATTTTAAGTTATTTGCAATTTATGAGTATATGAATTATTACAATTGAAAAAAAAACACTGTTAATGTTCTTCCCTTTTGTGTTTGATGATTGGTCAATTTAATCAAATGTTTAAGCTAGTAACAGGGTTTATTTAATAATTTTTTTCTGACTGCACAAATTTATTCTCACTCCTTGATTGTAGTAGGGAATTAAATTACATACACATATTGCCCATGAATTACAAAATAAATCAGTTATTTATACATTATTAATGCAATATTATCATTTGTAAATTATAATTTTTTTTTTTTTTTGTAAATACGAGTAAAAGGTATAATATTATAATTAATGATAGTTTATGTTTATTATTTTAAGTTTGCACAATTATACAATCCTATATAATAAATATAAAATAACAACGAGGAGTTTTTGTTGTGCTGCACAAAGTATTAATTTTCACTGCTCAATTATTTTTCTCACTGCATAAAATGTATCTTACCAGGGACTAAAATTGTGTGCAGTACGACACACTTTGTGCAATTCGAAATGTTAAGTGTGTAGTACAAAATTTAAAAACGTGTTGTGGTTCTATTCTTTATACTCACCTATTATGGTATTTAATTTTAATTTTACATTTTTTTTATTCAATTATTTTACATATTTTTAAAATTTCAAGATGAACGAGTATCATCAGTAAAATCGAAAATACTAACTATTTTAACCGTGTTACTCATTACTGTTAACGTTTGAAAAGGGAGTATGACAAAATCTTTAAGTGTGCAGTACAAAAAAAGAATATATTTTAGCCTCTGTGTCTTACTACACACGAAAAAAACCCTGAACATCAAAGATGCTATATTATACGTTTATAAGACTGAGATAACACATGTGAGTGTTGTGCATATCGAGTTATCGATTTCCTAAGTTTCTCTCTCTAGTTTTTTCGGAATTCCTTAACCAATCTACATCAATGATATAAAGCTTAAAGTGGTATCATAGAAAGCGCATGATGATCATGATCATTAAAATTCAACCATGACGTACATTCGGCATTTATAAATATTGTAAATCTTCTCAGACACGTCGTAAGTCGATCGATTTATCAACTTCACACGACAATCGAACATGTGTATGAGATAGCGCGACGGATGCAAACGTGAAAACCAATAGTGAACAGCAGATAGAAGCACTTGTTTAGTAGTTTATGCTCGAAAAAAAAACATTTTTTGAGTAGTATTAATAATAATAATTATCTATTATAAAATAAAATAGGTACTTGTCAAGCAATAAAAGAGAACGAAAAAAATCCACTACGATTTTAATCCGGGACGCATTTGTACAGAACGACGGCGGCAACGATATTTGCGAATGTTTATCCGTCGGTTTCTTCTCGGCGGCCGTAACGAAGACGAAATTACATCCGTGTCTCGTGGAATACGAATTCTATTATATTTTATTATTATTGTACAGAGCTGTGATTCTCATGAGCAGAGCACGAATCTTACAAGTTATCAGATTCGTGCTCTGCACATGTTATAAGTTATAACACTAAAAATCACTGAAATATGCACTATTTTATGACCGGAAAAATCTTAAAATCAGTGTTACCACTATAATATGCTTCAATAACATGAAATTATGTATGGATGTTAAATAATTATTAACGATTTAATCATAGGCGAAAATCGGAGGAGGCTTGAGGGGACTAAGCCCCCAGTAATGTAAATACAGGTCTTAGTAGTGGTGCATTTTCAATTTTTTCTGGGGGGGTCCACAGTTTATACATAATTAATATAAACTATATATTATATTGTAATAGTTACGTCCTTCTGCAGTTTTTGGAGGAAGTTAAACTAAATATATAATGTAATAATCGTATAGT